CTCCGTACCCTCAGGCCCCTCACGTCCAGTGCCCCCAGACTCAGCACCCCCACGCTGCGCACCTCCAAGCTCCGTACCCCCAGGGACAGCACCACCGCCAGCAGGACCGGAGTCACCAGTGACCTCAACAGGCGCAGGGACGGGAGGGTCTACCTGAGAAACACCGGAAGGAGCAGGACCTAGTGCGGGGAGGGGGTCTACCTAGGGAGGACCTAGGGCAAGAAAGAGCGGCGGGAGAGGGCGAGGAGCAGTGCGGTAGGGGAAGAGGCGGTAAAAGGGGACTGACTCGTCAAAGGTGACGTCCTGGGACGCAAAGACACGGCGCGAGGCGGGGTCGTAAAACTGCCAGCCAGGGGCGTCAGGGACAAAGCCAAGGAAGACGCAAGGAATGGCGCGAGGGGAGAGCTTGTCCGCGGTGGTATCGCGAACAAAGGCACGAGCACCCCAGACCCGGAAACGCGACGCGTCGCCAACCTTCCCCATCCACAGCAGTGTGGGCGAGGTCTCCGGCAAGGAGACACGGGGCCAAAGGTTGAGCTGATGCGCGGCGTACCGGACCGCAAACGGCCACAGAAAACGGGGGGCAGCCGCATGGATCATAGAGGTACGAGCGACCTCCATGACCAAGCCAATGCGGCGCTCAGCAACCCCATTCTGCTGCGGAGAGGCCGGAAGCGTGAAAGTCTGGCGGATGCCGTGCTCCGCACAGAAGGCTGCCAAGAGGTCTGAGGAGAACTCACCACCTCTGTCAGAGTGCAGACGCAGGACAGGAAAGTCCGACTGGAACCGCTCGCGGAGCTGGAGACGAGTAGCGCGAATCCAGGGGATCAAAACATCAGGGACATCCGCCTTGCGCTACAAAGGGAAGACCGTGGTGTAGCGTGTGTAGTCGTCGACAACCAGCAGGAAGTACCGCTCGTGGCCCTGTCCACGGACGCGGGCTGGGCCCCACACGTCCAGGTGGAGAGTCTGGAGTGGAGCCTCTGTGGGCGGGAACGAGGAGGAGTGAGGAGCGGCGCGCTGCCGCCCCTCGACGCAAGGAATGCAGGGCGGCGCAGGCAAGGGAGGGAGGGCAGGCAGAGACCTGGGAAGACCAGAGACCAGAAAGCGAGAGTGCATGCTACGAAGGCGAGGCAGGGAGGGGTGGCCCAGGCGGTGGTGCCACAGGAGAGTGTCGTGAGACAGCCGGCGACACTCACACTGGGTAGCTGCCTGAGCAGACGCGTGCAGCTGGGGAGACAAAAGGGTGGAGCGCGACGTAGTGGTGAGGGTGTACAGACTGGACCGTGGCGCACGGGTGAACGTGGCCAGGTGGCGGCCGGTCTGGGAGCAAGTGCAGATCGCCACACGCTGCCGGCCAGGGGTGAAGGTGTCAACACCCGCATCCTGGAGGACAGCGTTGCTCACCAAGTTCGTAGAGAACGAGGGGAGGTGGAGACCAGACAGCTCACCAGACGGGACCGCCGGACACGGAAGCACAGTGGAAGACCGTGCAAGCACTGGGCCCCCAGAGGGGTCAGCCAGGGAGACAGGAACAGGTGCAGGGAGGGGAGTGACTGTGGTACTGTCGCGAAAGAAGCAGCGGGAAGCACCAGAGTCAAGTGTAAAGGTGTGCAAGGCCTGTGCAGGCGCGGTACCAAGGGGAGCAGACTCACAAGCACCTAGTGCTGCAAGGACTATACCAGGGGCTATACCAGGATCCAGCGGCACACACAAGTAGCAGTCACCCTCAGCACTAACAGTCAATGCATACATAGCAGCAAGAATTGCCTCATAGTCAAGATCAAAGATAGGTACATCACGCCTAAGCAGGTCTGCCCAGTTGGGGAACTCAGTAGCATCAGGAAACTTGGCTCGCCAGGCGTCACTAAGCCGAGCGAAGCAGCGCTGCTCAGTGTGAAACCCTGTGCACTGGCGACCAGTGCGGGGACCTGTGCGAATGATATAGGGGCAGCGACCAGGACCCCCTGAAGCCCCACGCCCGGCATACCAGTCAAGAAGCTGCTGGGAAGTGGGGGTCTGGCGCTGACGCTGCTGCTGCTGCTACTGCTGCGACTGCTGCTGGCCCGGACCACCACTGCCACCACCGCTCCCCCCTCCCCCACCGCTGCCGCTGCCACCTCCACCGCTCCCAGTGCCCCCGCCGCCCCCACCACCACCTCCACCACCTCCACCCCCACGACCACCCCCACCACCTCCACCTCCCCCGCCGCCTGCACCACCGCCACCTCCACCGCCACCCCCACCTCCCCTGCCACCCCTGCCGCCCCTGCCGCTGCGACGCTTCCCACTAGGAGCGGAAGCAGCTCCGACCTCCTCAGCACCAAGGTAGTCGTGAGCAGCAGCTGCGGAGGCGTAGGAGGGGGTGAGAGGGGAGGGGGAGCACCCCTCAAAGAGGGGAGAGCGTGGAGTGCCACGAGCAGCACCTACAGCGAGGATGTTCTTCTCTGCTGCTAAGAGGTGCTTCTCGAAGTCGTCGACAGTGAGAGTGGGGGGGTCGAGCGCTAGGAAGTGGTCCCTGACTGAGCTAAGAGTGTCAGGGAGGCGGGTGACGAGGAAATACAGAGTGAAGTACATCGGGGGGGGGGGGGGGGGGGGGTTGCGGCGCAGAACTCGGCTGAAAGGGCGGCACGAAAGCGAGTGTCAGTGGCGCGCAGGTGGGAAATGAGGTCCTCAGCAGTGGTGAACGAGGAAAGGTCGGGGAACAGGTAAGGTAGCATGAGTCGACCTATGGCTGAAGTGGCCGGGGAGGAGTAGCTCGCAACTACGGCGTCGTACAGTGTCTTAGCAGTTTTGTGCTGGCTGAAATGCGCGCGCTCAGGAATCGGCAGGTAGTTCCTAATAGCGAGGCGTGCAGCAGCATCGCGAGTCTGCCACTGTGAGCGTTCGAGAGCAGGAGCTTCGGCAGCAGGAGCAACGGCAGTGCCAGATACGTAATCGAACAGGGAAACGCCCTCTTTGGCATCGGTCAGAAGGAACGGCTAGAGATCGTCTAACCACTCAGCGAACTCTATGGGGCGACCGTCAGGCTTGAACGCTAGAACGTTAGGCGTCGTCATAATGGCTCCAGGCAGAGGCAGGAGGCAGCAGGCAGCAGACAAGAGGCAGCAGGCACCAGGCCACAAGCAAAGGCAGAGGCAGCAGACAGGAGGCAGGAGGCAGCAGGCAGCAGGCAGCAGGCAGGAGCGGCCGCACGCGAGCCCCTAAAGCAGCACGCTAAGCAGTAGCGGGCCGCGCAGGCGGCCGACGCGACGCGTGGCGCAGCGGCGGGCCGCGCTGGCGACAGACGCGGCGCGCGGGGCGACGGCGGGCTGCACGCGACGCCGAGCTGCACGCGACGGCGGGCTGCGCGCGGCGGTGAGCTGCGCGGGCGACGCGGGCCAGCGCGCGGCGTTGCAGCAGTGGCGCGAACTAAAAAAAGTGACGCGCGCGCTAACAGCTGAGGTGCGCGCGAAAAAAAAAAAGATGACGCGCGCTGCAGCCGAGGCGCGCGCGGGCAGTAGGCAAGGCAGGTAGGGTAACACAGTTAGGTGGGCCCGATTCTTAGGTCCTAGAGACCTCCTGCTCTTGTTACCATGATGAGACTAAGTCATGGGAATGATTGATTAGGTCAAGATTGGGGTACAAGACTAGAGTGTCGAGATTGTTTGTGTACCCTCTAAGGCTAACCCCAATACAGCCTAGATAATAACAAGCATATCTTTTGACACTTGCTTCATCCACGACGGGCGACTCCTGGCGCGCTGTACCACGCGCCAGGTGTAGTTCGGCGTTTTCCTTCCTCAGGCGTTCGACCTCCACAGTTATCGTCTGCATGTTGGCCTGCATCGTCCGAAACTGTTGCATAAACTCGTTCAACTCCGCCTGGTCCATATTTCGCAAGCTTCGTCGGACGGGCAGGGGGTGGTTAGCGATTTTTATGACTTTTAGTGAAGGCGCAAACACTATCGTAGTCGGAGTGAAATAATCGTATCTATTTCACAGGCCGACCGCTTTGCAGCCCACTAAGTCTATCGCTCCCCTTACACAAACTACCCCGGAAACGCGAGGGTAACCTAGGAAAATAGCTCTGATACCAGCTGTTATGAGTTGTAATGAAGAGAGTGCGCATGATTCAATAATGCGGAAGTGATAACAACAACTGAGCAAATAATGAGGCCTAGCACTAATATAGCAACTGCTAGCTAGGCCGAGATCGCGGGACCGCGGATGGTTGGGTGCAGGTTCGGGTTCGGGAAAACCCGAAGGCGACGCGATGATGGTTCGGAGGGCGAGGTTGTCGGACCGAGCCTGAACTTCGAAAGGTTGGGGTCTGTACGCGTACGGTGTGACTCAGTAAGGAATTAGGGAAAATTCCTTACACCAATGCAACATATTTTTAGGAATGTACGATGAAATACTCGAAACCAGCTTGTAGAATTTCACTTGTTATTTTTGTTTCACCAAGCGAAGTCCTAGCTGCAATTGTGGTGGGTCCGTTTTGAAGCAGGCTATAATGGTGAAAGGCGGCCAGGGTGTTCCGAGCGCGGGGAGCTGACGCACGTCAGAAGCTGATTGTCAGCTGCGGCTTTACAGCACCAAGGGAACGGACCTGCACTCACCCACTTGCGGAACGTACGTTCCCGTCATCTGTCCGTCCAAACCCAATCTCAGAACTCCCTCGCCCGTCGATATTCACAGACTTGACGAAACCTGGGCACCTGTATTCCCAAGGCTGGTTCACCTCTTGCGGTCTGGTGGTCTGCTCTGCGCCTCCCTCCCTAACAACCTCGATGTTGCCAACCAAAACCAGCGCTCCCTCCCTCCACTCTGTCCCGCGCTGGTTCAGCGCAGTGTGAAGACCAGTGGAGGACAGAACAGATCACTAACTGCAGAGCTGTCCACCAGTCATCCCGCCATGTCTTAGCGCAAGGGCGTGTATGTTAAGGCACTGTACAGTAGAAGATATCGAGTAGGCTGTGTCAGTTCACAGTGCTGTGTGATTCTTAGACCTAATCGCAATGCCGGTCGCGGAGAACAGTCGGCTTTACGCACCAACGCGTTCCTCTCTCGCTAAGACACGCGCTGTCAGTCCACCCTCGCAGCGACGCCTCTCCCCCGCAGGCAGCAGCGGAAATGGAGCGCAGGGTTCCGAGCCACGTGCTGGTTCAGCCCGATCTTTGTCACCCAATAGAACCGCTGCACCCGCCGGCATCGGGCTCGCGCGAGCAAGCGGAGCAAGGAGCAGGGAGGACCAGCCGGCAAGCGGGGGAATGGGCCAGCACGCTGAGGTCTCCGCAGAGACGCGGAGATGGTCTGCGGGGAGCAGTACTGCGCGCTTACCATCCCCCTCGTCTCCCCCTACCTCCCCGCGGTTCACTCGGCGCAGGGATACCTCCTCCCCGCCTTCCTCCCCCGGCCTCGGACCCGGTCGGCCGTCCCGGCGAACGGACCACGCCCGAGATGGCGGACACGTGGCACTGGGGAGGCAGGGGCTAGCGGTGATGCAGGGACGACGGCTGTCGGATTCGAGCTCAAGTGTGTCGGTGCTGGGAGTGGTGGAGGAGCAAGCGGGGGACACGGGTGAGGGGTCGCGGCAAGGATCAGTGGACGCGTTTGAGGCGATGAGCAACAGCAGCCAGATCAGCGACTCCGGTAGCTACAGCGGCTCCGCGCCCACCGCCGCGCGGAACGGTCATGTCTACTCCACGGACGCCGCGAGGCAGAGCCGTTTGTCTCTTGAGCCGCGCCACGGCGGGCAAGCAGCTAGACTAGCCACCCCTGCTGACGTGGACAGGTATCACGAGAGCGGTCGGCAGTTCGGGCAAATGTTACGGGGGGGCGCGGGGCCGGCGCGCATTGTCAGCCCCGTGGAACGCGCCGTAGCTGCGGAACTTGCGACATTGGCGGATTCCGTCACGGACGCAGACGTGTATGCGCCGTCCCCCGCCGCAGCCGCGCTTATGTCCGCAACGGACGGGCTCTTCTCCGCCGCGTCCGCTTACGCCTCCGCCTCTGTTCCCCCGCCCCCTGGCGCGCCTTCACCAACACCCCTCTACAGTCTCTCCGCGCATCAGCCTGTCTCATCCTCCCCGTGGCCCCCGACGGTTGTGGCGCTTGCGCGTCCACCTGAGGCGGGGCTGGGCGGACTTGATGTAAGGGCGCGGTTGGGGCGCACCCTGGGGTACGGGAGCGCGGGCGGAGGGGGGAAGGCCGGGGGGAGGTGGGCTACAATGGAGTCGAGCATTGAGGGGCAGGGGCGGGAGAGGCAGCATCAGCAGCAGCAGCAGCAGCCAACGAAGGACGCCAAGGAGCTGGCACGGTCGCTGCTGCTGCAGCTGTCGGGCGGCAGAAAGGCGCCGCTGGGGGGAGGCGCGCCGCAGGTCATTGCGGTGCGCGATCGGAGTGGAGGGGAGGCGGCGCAACGGGACTCCGGAGCCTCGGGAATGCCGGCTGCAGTCCACGGGGATGGCATGAGCGGGCAGCGGCAAGGGGTGGAGGGGGCGACCAGTGCATTCGCAGGTCGAGGGGCCGTGACCGGCAGGGAGGCGGAGCAGGGAGAAGTTGACTCGATTATGACTCAGCGAGGTGCTTATAACGAGAAGAAACGCGGTGACACTGAGAGGACGGGCGGTGGCGTGATGGGCGGTGCGAGTTTCGACGATGACGTGATGGTGATGGCGGGCGAGGACGAACAGCACGAGGAGAAGGCCGCGTGGAGGCAGCCGTGGTCGCAGCGACGACTGCAGCACGACGACGTGCCGCCGTCGCCACCACCGCTGCTGCAGCAAAAGCAGCAGGAGCAGGAGCAGCAGGAGGAGGAAGAAAAGCTGGAGCATGAACAGGGGCTGCGGCAAGTCGAGTTGCAGGAGCATTTGCAGAAGCAAATATCATTGCAGCAGCAAATCGAGTTGCAACAGCAGGAGGAGGACCGATCAGAGGAGGCAGAAGCAGAGAGTACGGAGGAGGAAAGCGAGGAGCGGCTTGTGCGAATGCGAGCAGAGGAGCAGGCGGAGCAACAGAGGCAGCAGAAGCTGCCATCGCAGCCGAGTCTATCACAGCAGCAGCAGGGGCAGCAGCAGGGGGCGGCGGGGGGCAGCCCGGTGTCGACTCTGGATGTGGCGCTGAGCAAGGGGTCCCCCTCAACCGATGCAGGTGAGGAGGAGGGCGGGCTCGCCTTGCACGCGCGCATGCACGCACTCGCCGACGCCCACTGGCTCGCCGTGGATGCCAGCCAAGCAGAGGAAATGGCAGTCGAAGAGGACATGGAGAAGCGTGGAGGTGCAGAGGAAGAGGCAGAAGCCTGCAGGGAAGCAGCGCGCGTGTGGGGCGATGAGCCTTGCGTGCCCGCCCAACAGGCGCTGCCACTCTTGCACACACAAGGTGCCTGCCTTGCTGCCTCTTTCTGTGCCGTGGGGCTGTCACTGCACCACGCCTGCCATGTTGTGCCATGTGTCTCTCTTATATGGCAGCTGGTGCCATGTGTCGCTGCATTGTGCATAGATGGATGGACCTCCTAGCATCATGCTTCCTATCATCACATGGAGTGACCCTTTCCATTCACTATCCTCCTGCTGTGCCCTGAATTTGCTCCTCATAACATCTTGTTCCTCTCTCTCCTCTCCTCCCAATCTCCACTCGCTGTGCAGGAGACAAGGCACCCGACTCGTCCCTGCTCGCACCAGCAAACCCTCCTCCTGCCTCTCCTCTCACCACCGCCGTCACCCCTGCAGCAGGACCTCTCCAGCCGCCCCTCTCAGCGCCCCCGCCTGCTCTCCCCCTGCCACCACTGGAGTCGCTAAGCACAGTGGACCTGGGAACACTCGCCTTTGTGCCGTCACCAGCGGGCATGGAGGAGGACCTCGAGTACATCCGCTACGTGCTCGTTGCTGCTGGCTTCGCCAACCGCTCTCTCCCCCCTGCGGCGTCTCCAGCTGCGCCCATCAGTGCGGCGGTGTTTGAAGTGCTGGAGGCGGAGTTCCTGTCGCTGGATGGCATCATTGTTGACCCTGCCAACCCCCTGGGGCCTGTCACGGGGCAAGCAGCATCAGGAGGCAAGGCAGGAGGTCCAAACGCATCATCGCCAGAAGCAACAGCAGATGGGTTGTCGGAGAGTGAGAGCCTGCCATCAGATGCAGCGCCGGCCTTCTCCTCACCAGCCCTCCCTGCCAATTACCCTGATGAGCGGCGGCAGTTCCGCCTCCTCTTTGACGCCGTGAACGAAGCTCTCGGCCGCCGCCTCGTGCCTTTCCTCCTGCCCTCCCAACCGTGGCAGCACCTGCATGCCGCCCGGTCTGCACCCCTACGGAAACGGCCAGCCGGGCGGCGGCTGCTGCAGGAGGTGTGGGCAGAGATCCACTCGTGGGCTGTGCCCATGTCTGATGACGTGTTTGACACCCTGGATGACCTGGCACGCAGGGACTTGTGGAAGGGAGTGGACACCTGGATTAACAAGGATAAGGCTGTGGATGATGAGGTGCCAGATGTTGTGTTTCAACTGGAGGAGGTGCTGATGGGGGAGTTGATTGGGGAGATGTGTGCGGATTGGATGGAGATAGGGAGGAGAAAGCAGAGAGGGAGAGATGGAATGCTTGAGTTGATGGATGGAGGAAAGCACCATGGTGGAGGGAGTGATGTGTTTATAGCAGGAAAGGATGGAGGCAAGGCAGGTGTGGTGGCCGTGGAAGAGAAGGAGAGTGGTTCGGCAAGAGGGTCACCGGTTGGCAGTGGAAGCAGGTCTCTACGGTGGCTGAGGCTTGGGAGATGAGTGAATTGAACTGACGTTTAACACCAGTCCTAACACCATCGCTGAGCTAGAGTAATCTAGCCATGCACTGGATCTGATTTGTGATAATAACTTGTCAATGCATGCAAGCTTTCCTACACACCCCTTTTGTTGCACCTGATTCAAATGCTCGTATTCAATGCAATTTGCTTTTTTCTTGATTGTGTACCGAATTCGTGCAGTTGTTCCATTTAGTGCAGTTTACATCTACAGCACCCAATTTTCGTGATTCGTGATTCAGCTGTGTTCCGCTCTGTGCACTTCACGGCATTGCCACAAGTTCGTATGCTGTCACCCCTGCCACGACAACGCTGAGGTTATCCTGCCCTAGCTACACAGGCAGCGCAACTGCCGGCAGCTCAGACGGACACTTCTTCCTGGACAGACACGCCACAGACCTTGACCTGACAGCCGCTTGGGTAACCTCTGTCGCTATTTTATCGTACTAGGTGGTGTGTAGGCGACTCCGAATTTCTACCCCCGAAAATGGCTGCCACCGCCTCGGCGATTGCCGCGTCTAGACCAGATGGTTACTTGATAGCCATGATCGCAGATGAGGTAGGGCGAACTTGGACCAGCGATCCCTCACTCTAATGCTCGCGTCGTTCTTCTCACACCGAGTTCGCGTAGGTGGGTAGAAGACCACGATAAATGACATATTCATCACATTATTCCGTCAAATGTGCAGGACACGATAACCGGATTTCTGCTGGCCGGAGTGGGTCACATGGACGTGCGGCGACGGAAGAACTATCTCGTCGTCGACTCCAGTGAGCTCTTCGCGACTGGCCCTGAGTCTGTATTTTTCAGGTTATCTTCGATTTGGCGCTGATCAGGAGGTTTTCTGCTCGTGTGTTTTCAGAGACCCCTGTGCGACAGATCGAGGAGTCGTTTAAAGAGTTCAGCAATAGGGAGGACGTCGCCGTCATTCTTATAAGCCAATATGTGGGTCGCCTCGATCATCATTCAACAGGGAGCTGCAGTCTGAATTACGTTCATCTTGCCTTTTAATCATATTGAGCCTCGTTCTCGCCATTCAAGCCTTGTCCCTGTGCTGTGCAGATCGCCAACATGATTCGGTACAGCATCGACAGCTACAACAAGCCCATACCCGCCGTGTTGGAGATCCCCAGCAAGGAGCATCCGTACGACCCCAACCAGGACTCCATTCTCTCGCGCGTCAAGCACATGTTTGCTTCGTCTGAGTCCGTTTCTGACTCCAGGGTCTGACACGGCCCGCGCACGCTCACACACTCACAGCCATCTTCAAATCGTTCCCTTACCGTATCACCAAACTCTTCAAGCTCCTGCCTGATTCCGGTCTGCACTCTCCACAGCCTGTCCCTGTACGCATGCTGTGTGCAGGTTGGTTGCCCATACCTCAATAGTTGGTGTAGCTTATTGGTTTGTTTCCTTAACAGATGCAGACGACAGTGGTACATGACAAAGCTGTATCAAGCATATGGTGCTTCCAAGTCACTATATTGATGAAGCCTGTACACTTTCACCACAGGGCAAGTCACCACCAAATCATTCCAGCTAGTCGAATATTTCAGCTCCTTGGCATGAGGCAGGCAGGAGTGTGGCGTGGGACATGTCTCAGGTCACATGTCAGGTGTGGCCTCCTCTGTGACAATAGTGAGTGTGACTGTCTTCCCATGTGCCCTCTTGACGACGAGGGGCACCTTCACGCCCACCTTATCTCCCAGCAAATCCAGCACCTGGCGGGAGGAGGTCACTGGCTGCCCGGCAAACTCCACTATCACATCACCCGGCTGCAACCCACCCCTGGCTGCAGGCGACCCAGGAATCACCTGAGGGGGTTGGGAGAAGAGCAAAAGAAAAGACACAGTGAGATGGTCAAGAGGAAACAAGGCAGCAGCACAAGCAACGCAAAGCTACACTACCAAGGACATCCAGCAGTGTTGGTCTGGCCTGACTGGCCAAGAGTTGCATCACAGACATGGACCTGAGCCCACGTGGCCCCATAACAGCAAGTCACCTGGGGGACGAGAATGCCGGCATCGACCGGGGGGAAGGAGGGGTCTCTGTCCCTCAGCTGTGCTGCAATGGAGGCGTTGAGCTCCAACATCTTGATGCCCACGAATGGCCGCACCACTCTTCTGCTCATGGGGATGAGACGAGAAAGGGAGGGATGGGAAAGGGGGAACGACAAGAGGAGAAAGACGGCAAGCTGACCCTGTCTGTTCCACCTCTTTTGTCCCCCATGCGACCTCTGCTTTCTTGCTCAACATGCCCTTCCTCTCGCGCATCCAAATCAAATTGTAAATAGCAGTCAATAGGGATGGTGGAACAGACCCTTCTGTTGCTGTGCCCCCATGCCCCTTGCCCCCTCTGTTCTCCTCGAATGCAATTTTCTACCCCCCTCTGTTCACCAGTGCCACTCACCCATGGCGGGAGAGCTGGTCCAGGATGAGAACCGCGGAGTCGATGGGGATGGCGAAGCTGACCCCATCAGCTGCCAGCGCCTTCATGTTGTTGATGCCCACCACCTCCCCGTCCAAATTCACCAGCGGCCCCCCACTGTTGCCCTGCTCCCCCATGCGTCACACGCACACACACACCGTTCATGGTTCGTGAGAACGGATTTACCAGCAGGCAAAAGTGTGCGGATACAGATGGATGGAACAGGCATGACCCGGGACAGCATCTTATGGTCTGGAAGCATCTCACATGAGATGGCGTGGCAGAGACTGTTGTGCATGTGTGCGTGGGGTTGCTGCTGTGCATGTTCACACCGCATTGATGGCTGCATCTGTCTGGATGTAATCCATTCGCCCTCCCCTCAGCCCCAGCTCTGTGCCCTTGCGATCCACACAACTGCACGCCACCGTGGGAGGGCGGAAGAGGAACAGCAGGAACAAGGTTCACGACATGCCACAGGTAACAATGTGCAAGCCCATCTGCCCCTACTCTGGCCATAAAACGCTCATTCACGTCACCCAACAAAAACACCTGAGATGGCCACCTGATGCTTGTATGCTGCCAGCATGATTACAGCCTGGACCTGACTGCATGTTCAACCACCAGCAGCACCTGAAGCCCCAGCCAGCAGCACCTGAGGGCGCAGGCAGCACCTGAAGCCCCAGGCAGCATGTGAAGGCGCATTCAGCAGCAGTGAAGGGGTGCGCGCACCTGACGATGCCGGCAGTGACGGTGTTGGAGAGGTGCAGAGGCGAGCCCAATGCCACCACCCAGTCCCCCGGCCGCAGTGCCTTGGACGACCCCAGCTTCACCACCGGCAACGGTGACGGTGCTGACACCTGTGTTGGGCAGTGCAGCGGGTGAGAAGAGGAAAGGAGAGGCAGGCAGCAAGGGTGGACAGCCACTCGAAGAGCACAGCAATTGGATTCGAGTAGCAAGGAGCAAAGTGATGTCAGCGTGGTGGAGAAGAGTGATGGGGGCAGCACAAGAGGCATCGCAAGGTGTTGGCCTACAGGTGTGGAAGCAGGAGAAAGGAGAGTGGTGAGACAGGTGGGTGAGGGCACGAGCACGTGTGGGAGCACCTTGACGAGGGCGATGTCAGAGAGAGAGTCAAAGCTCAGCACGTGGCCGTCAAACGTGCGTCCGTCCTGCAGCGTCACCTGCAGCTGTTATGAGGGGCGACCGGAGGGGCAGGGCAGGCAGCAGTTGGCACGAGCATCAGCCAACAAGTCACCAGGACGCAGAAGTGAGTGTTTGCTGTATAAACTTCGGAGCTAAGTTGGGTAAGGAGGGGTGTTGGTCAATGGAGCAGAGAGTAAAGAGACAAAGGATCAGGTGGCAGTCAGGCTACACAGCCACAGTAGCTTGCGTTACCCTCGCCCTAGGGCCCTCACCATGCCCCCAGCGGCCTCACCATGCCCCTAGCGCCCCTCACCATGCCCCTAGCGCCCCTCACCATGCCCCCAGCGCCCTCCATCCAGCGCCCCTCCCCCCCACCCCCCGTTGGCGCCCTGACAGTGGCGCGGGAGCTCCAGTAGGGCGCAGAGGAGGCGAAGGGGTCGACCATCTCGGCCACGACGTGCGCGTTGGTGAGAATGAGCCCGTCCGCCCTGATTATGGCCCCCGACCCCATCGCCTGCCCGCTGAACATGCCCCGGCCTGAGGGGGGAGGGGGGTGAAGGGGTGGGGAGGAGGGGAGGGGGAGAGGACGAAGGTGCAGGGGGATGTGACTGGCGACGGATACATGATGGCGCACTCTTGTGGGACACACATGCATGAACGCACACGTACATGAACGGACGCAAGCATGCATGCACAGACGCACACACTCACACACGCACGCATGCACGCATTCGCCCTATTCCCCCACCCCCCACCTCTCCCCCGCCCTCCCTCCAACAAACACCCTCACACGGATTCACACTGTCCACTCACCCACACTGACTGTCAGATTCACCACAGCAGGCGCTGCCCTTGCAGCCGCGTCAGCAATGGCATGTCGCGACAAGCAATTCCGCCCACACGTCCCACCATTACCACCTGCATCCCCCTCCTCCCTCGCATCCGCTTCCCCTTGCCCCGTCCCTGCCTTTCCCCCGTCTCCCCTCCCCCCTTGTTTCCCACTCTTAACTTCCTTCGTCCACTCTCCTTCCCCATCCTTAAGCCCTTTTCCCCCTTCTGCCTGCGCCTCCGCCTTCCCCCCGGGTTCCCCTTCCCCTGGGAGCAGCCGTTTGATCCCCTCAACCACGCTGCGGGGCGCGGGAAGGGACCCATGCGGGGGGGGCGTGGGCAGAGGCGGGGATTCGGGGCCGGGGAAGGGGATAGCCGTCGGGGAAGCATCGGCGGTGAGAACCAAGCGCGGGATGAATCCTGCGCGAGGCGAGGCAGTAGTAGCTTCAAGCGGAGATAACGGCAGGGAGGCGTGGGTGGAATATGCGGGGGCGGATTCACGCGACCCGAAGAGGGGAGTGGCGGACAAGGGACCACCAGATTGCGCGTGATGAGCGGATGAAAGTGGAAGACGGGAAGGCGCTTCCGTATGAGGGGAATGAAGCGCAGCTACCGCCGTCGCTCCGCCTGCCAGTGCGCCGACGAGAGCGGGGAAGAACCAAGAGAATCGGCGCGACGATGAAGAAGAGGGTTTTACGGGCGTCGCTGGCGTCACTGATTGGTGCAATCTCCTGATTCCCGTTTTCGCAGCTTGTAACGGAGCTAGTTGTTCAGCGGCTGCCCCGACCAACATTCCCCGCACAGAGGAAACCCGCTTGACGTCACTGACTCGCCGCGACATGAATCGTGCGAACAGGTACGACGTCATGGCTTGAGAAACGCGATGACCACCGCGATTGCCGCTGGAGACTTCAGGAACAGCTAAAAGTGGGCGCATTGGGGGGACCTCAATCGAACAATCTCGGACGAATGTGCCTGGAAAAGCAATCTCAGCTCTGTGCTGGATAAACTCGTCATGAACACGCCACTCGGGCTTCGTTAGTGGGCCTCGGTCTCTGACAACTACAAATCAGTTTCTACAAACTATAATACAAATCAATACGAATCAGTTTCGTGAAAGTTCAAAGAAAAATGGAAGCCACTGTACTGTCAAGGTTACTGGGTAAATTTTCGTGGAAATTGTTGGATAAATATCCTGCTTGCCCTGTCAGACAATCAGCAAAGCAGAAATTGGTGCAATCTCGGCCCTGATCGGTAGCCCTTAAGCTTCTGTCGCTTTGGCACACACGTGTGGGCACGTGTCGCTGGGTGCTTCCCCCCTGCTTCAGTAAATTTCCCAGCTCACAGGGGTGATCGGCACGCCCCCGAAACTGGGCTTAGGGAAGTTGCGCGGGTCGTGAGCGCGATTTCCTTCGAATCACGGTTGCTTTCGGCCCAGACTGCCCCATTCGTCACCAAGAAAATGTTTTCTAAAAAAAGGGGAACCTGGGCCATAAAATGACTCGAGTCAGAACCATTTCTTGAATCCCTCACAATAGGGCCAGGAGGAATGGGAAGATTTGAAGGTGTTTTAGGAGGTTAACGTTGGCAGGTGGAAGAAAATTTTGCGGTTTTGTTGGGTTTACCCTTCGCGGGCTTACTCCGAGTAAGCGAGGCTTACTCTCCCAACAAGCCAGAGTTAGTGGAGTTCCGCCGCGTAACTCAGTTTGCCCGTAAATGAACCTTCCTGTATGGCCACTTCGAGACGTACTCCGAGTAAGGTGTTGGGGCGATCGTTAGCCCCTTCTGAGTTACTCGGAGTAAGACACGTCGGATTGAGTAAACTTCCGTCACACGTGCAAAGCCGGAGTTTGTAAACTGCGTCGAAGCTCGCTTTTCCGCTTAAGGGTGCTACCGATCAGGGCCCTCATCTTGCACAGCTCCCCTTCTCGAAAACCTTCATTTACTGCGGATGATTGTAGGAAGCCTCAATCACGTGAAGAGCACGCTAGTACCAACGAATCAGTGAGCTTGGCTGGGCCAAAGATCCGCCAGGCTGGATTTTGTGCTGTAGGGCTCGGCAAGTCCTTGTAACAATTCAAGTGCCCAAACGCTAGTCCTCCTCCCACCAGAGATTCCAGACCTGTGTCCAAACGTCTGGTCTAGAGTGGCTGCCATCAGCAGGGCCAGAGGACAGCCGCAAAACACAGCAATTGTGATGGCAGAACCTCCACTCTGGTGTACAGATGCTGGCGTGGCGTTCCTGGGAGTGTTTGTTCTTGAAATATTAGTCCTAGAATGTCTCCCTGCATAAATCGAATCGGCCGATGCGTCCATGTGATAGACCCATGTGTTATCATTAATCGGCAACGGTTCTTGGGTTCCTGCGGATGCCATTGGCGGAAGCGAGTCTTCCAGACGCTGAGAAAATGATTCGGCCTTCCTGATACATTCCACTATGCTTCCATGCGCGTCACCAGAATTGTTTGTGAAATCCACATCCCAGAAGGTGGCAAAATTGCAATTAACTCCAAGGTTACAGCTCTGAACTTAGCATTTAGTTCTTTCTGCACTTGTACCTCGTTGCTTGCACTTTCTAGACTTGATCGTTAGCGTCTTGCACCCTTAGGGTGGAGCTTTAAGTATTTCGTAAGGGTTTCAGACCACTTAGCTGAAGACCATCGTTTCCACCGAATGGAATAAAGTGGAGGGCAATTCGTTTAAACCGTTGACTCCGACCATCCTGAACTTGGGAAACGTGAAGCCTGAGGCAACTTCGAGGCTGTGAATTCGGCGGGAATACAGCAGGGCGTGCTGTTTGGGCCTGATCATTTCGAATTTCGATGCACAGCCAGGCACACATCGCCAACCCATTCCTTCCCGCAGAGTCGCATGAAGGAGCAGCATATGCACGCCGCATTCCCCCGTTGAGTGTGGGTGTGGGCGCGCTACGTTACTGTCGCCGCAAGCCCAACGCGACTTTCCAGTTGGCAGCGATGACGACGTTGGTTGCACAGTAAACGGCTGAGTACGTCAAAGATAGGTAATGAGGGTTACAGTGTGGTGAATTCCAATGTCCTGATTGAACGCACAAGCAACAAGCCACTATCAGCGATCATTAGTCCCATCCATGGCGCTCAGCTCAGCTGTCAGGGTTTTCCTTACCCCGTCCCAATCGAGTACAGTAAGCAGTCCAGCCCGCCCGATTGATCCACGCAGACGTGCTGCGGGGCGATCTGTGAGCCGAGGGATAATCAGCAATACGTCCTCACTCATTCCCGCTGCTCCTCTTGGGGCGGCAGGGCTCCAGGGGCTAAGAAGCTCTTAGGCCAACGCCTTATTCAAGGACATTGTCAGGCATGGGAATAGAAACCTTCACAACCGACAAATGCTCAAATGGGCTGAGTTCTGCTCAGATGATCCTTCTTTCACATACCGAAAGACGACCGCGTACTAGTACCCTCATCATTTGGTCCCCCACAGCCGTCGACGACACGGTTTCTGATCGTCGGCATGCAGCACTAGTAGCATTCGCAACGTGGTGCAAGTTAACTTCCTTCAAGCAGGCTACAACGTGTTTTTTCGAGAGTTTCTCAAGCACGTCGACGAATATTTCGATTCGCAGCCCGTTCATTGAGCCGGTCCTAGCATTCGCCGTGCTTTGCGAGAGTGATAGAAATAATCCGTCACGTCACGACCTCGTACGCGACACACAGTCCCTAATAATGTCCGACGGCGCAGCCGAATAGGGAGAAAACGGCCAGCAAGCGGTTGGCGAGCGACGCCAGGCGTACTCGCCATGGACAGCTATCTGCGGCGAGCCGTAAGAACTCCGCACGAGGCGAGCAGCGCCATGATTTCCGGCGATACCACAGCCTCCGGTTCCAGCGCGTCATTCGTGGGCGTTGATTTCCGTCATCCGAATCCACTCACGAGCGTGTCCGCCGCGACGGCCGTCCATGGCTCCATGTCAGAATGTTGTATTTGTCTAGCCTGCAGTGGGGTACTCTATAGCGAGTACAGCCCAATCTAGGGTTTCCTATATGTACTCAACTGCTTGCTAGTGAAACCCCTCCTTTCTTCATTCTTACTTTCTACTGCTAGTTCTGACATGCTATCAGAGCAGGTCGATCCCCTTGGGTCGATCCTGTGGGTGGGCCCACCACCTCACTGCTTCCGCTGCTACTGCTATTCTGTGTGTTGCACGCCCCGTGGCGTGCGACGGATTTTTCATCCCGCCGCGCGCTCGGAGCGTGCGGCGGTTTTCTGCCCGCCGTGCGCCCCGAGGCGCGCGGCGGTTTTCTGCCCGCCGTGCGCCCCGAGGCGCGCGGCGGCTTTCTGCCCCGTCACTCCGCGCGTCGCTCCCGGGAGGCGCTGCGACGGGCGACGGGGACCCGCGCGTCGCCCCCCGTCGCCCGTCGCGGCCTGCGCGACCTGCGTAGGGCCCGCGCGCGGCCCGTACAGCCTGCGCGCGGCCCCTACGGGCTGCGCCAGGCCCGCGCGCGGCCCGTACGGGCTGCGCCAGGCCCGCGCGCGGCCCGTACGGGCAGCGCCAGGCCCGCGCGCGGCCCGTACGGACTGCGCCAGGCCAGGGCGCGCCTCGGGCCGCCCGCACGCGGTTCGTACGGGCTGCGCCAGGCCCGTGGGCGCCCTGTTTTCTCTGCCCCTGCGCTGCCCGCTGTCCCCCGTGCTTCTGACGGCGCCCCACCCCTGCTGCTGCCCGTTCTCCTGAATTAGGGTTTGGGGGTGGGGGGTATGGGGGTGCAGTTTCTGTGCGTCGTCCCCTACTCCTCCTCCTCCTCCGTCTCCCAGTGCTGCAGCTGCCGCTGAGGGGGGTGGGTGTGTGGGAGCCGAAGGAGTGGTACTAGGGGGGTGACGTGCAAGTGGAGTTAGGAGTGAAGCAGTGGGTGTGTGGGGGGTGTGTGGGACAGTTGGAGGAGGTTGAGCGGAGGCTGCTGTCTTGTCGTCCGCAGCACCTGTAGTCCGGGGCGCACTGTCCTGGTAGCCCAGAGAGTCTGCTGCGCCTGTCGCCCGAGGGTCCGTTGCTCCTGTAGCTCGTCGTAGCCCGTGAGCCAGTTACTCCAGTAGTCCGGGGTGCACTGTCCCGGTAGCCACTGTGCCAGCAGCTCCTGTTGCCCGTGTGTCTGCAGCTTCAGCCGCCGTCTCTCATCTTCTCTCCTCTCACAGTCCCTCCTCCTCCTCACTTGCCCGCTGTGATTACCTCTAGCTTTGCTTCTTATTGTGAACTCCTGCTATACCTGCTCATTGTGCTGATTACACCCCACTTTGGCTATGGGGGTGTGTCAGAATGTTGTATTTGTCTAGCCTGCAGTGGGGTACTCTATAGCGAGTACAGCCCAATCTAGGGTTTCCTATATGTACTCAACTGCTTGCTAGTGAAACCCCTCCTTTCTTCATTCTTACTTTCTACTGCTAGTTCTGACACTCCATGCCCGCCGAACGCTGGCCCTTGCTTTGTAGTGCCGTCAGCTGCAGTACGAGTGGCAGCACGAGCACGATAGGCGCAGCGCACCTCGAAATCGCCGCGGCGCGGTCGTCATTCGACGCCAATTTGCAGCGGATATTGGACGCATCGTCGCTCGACGAAATCTGGAGCGTCGCAGAACTGAATCCTGTCCGCGGAAGCCTTCCCCCCTTCTACTCCACACAGCGCCGCCCGCCCGCACGCTCGCTGCGCGGAGACCCGCCTGGCGTCTTAGGATCGTAAACACCTTAGTCGGCAATAGTCTACTTGCTATTGCTTATCGTGTTCTCCACGATCTCACGAATCCAACGATATGCGCAGCTCTGCTTGAAGTTGTCAATACACACTTCAGCAATTTTCAGAATCTGATTGGTTTCAATGTTGTATTTTCCAGAATGAGTACAAGCAGTTTTATAGTCAAGCAAGACACAAAATGCGATTCGTAACTTCACTTGTTTCCCAAGTAACCGCGTGCGCCTCGTTTCACCCCGAGTCGCACAAGGAACCGAACCGAATTCACCGAACACTCCTCAAGTCCGAATCTGGAACCTTCTCGAACACGCCTTGAGCTCGAACCACAATTTCCCCTCGTCAACTTCAATCTCGATACTTCTTCACTCTTCTTCCTCCATTTCTCTAGTTTCTTCCCGATTTCTCTCTCGCTTCTCACGCCGTAGCTTCCATTCTCCACCGTAGGCCGATTTCCACCGTTTCACCTAGAATCATCCACATGCTTCCATTTCGCCGTCATTCCGCCGTCGTAGAAGCTTTCGCCGTAGGTTCCGTGGTTGGGCGAACCAACCCTAACATGGCGGGCCCTCGATGCCGCTCCCCATTGCGCCCGCTCCGAGTCTGTGGGGCTCCGCGAGCGCGCATCGCCTTCCCACCGCGGGCTTTCTTCCCGTCGTCCCCGAGGCTATGGCGGCCGTGGCGGGGGGGTCGAGTCCCGTGCACGGCCTCGTGTCGCTGCCCGACCGCCTTCACGGCCTCTTCGCCTCCACTGACTTTCCGCCTTCCGCCGAGTTAAACCCCAGCGCGCATGACGCCGCCTCCCGCGCTGCTGCTCACCTACCCCCGTTACCCGCTGCGTCGTTGATGCTGCCGCCACAGGAGCCACGAGCCGGAACCGCTGGCACGTCAGCTGCAGCTTCGGCGGAAGCGCGCTGGGAGAGCGACTCGGCAGCCACGCTCGCAGCGCCATTGGCGACTTCGACGAGCGCGCCACTGGCCGCGGGGTTTGCGACATTTGCGGGCTCTGGCCGTCACGCCGACGACAGCGCCTCGAGGTGGCGGAGGCGACTGGAGCAGCGCGAGGAGCCCGTGGCCGCATCCAGCGGCGGTGCGCCGCCGTTCGCGGGGGGGCCAGGCGCAGCGTGGGCACTCCCCTCGGTGGGGCGGCTGGTAGCAGCGCAGGGGGCGGCGGGCGGTGGAGCGGACGTACTACAAGCTGCAATTGCTTCAGAGTGGATCCCCGCGGCAGCGGCGGCCGAGGACCTGCCGCAGGCGCTGGAGCATGCAGGCGGGGGAATGGAGGGCGCATGCGGAGGCGGGGGAATGGAGGACGTGGTGGGGGGCTGGGGCACGTGGGACACGGCGTGGGGCGTGATGGGGATGGAGGGGGGGTTGAGCAGCGGCGGCACTGGCGTGTGCATGAACAGTGACATGGGTAGTATGGATATGAGCGCGGGCATAGGCATGGGGATGGGGATGGGCATGAGCGCGGCGGGCACGGGCATGGGGGTTGGCATGGGCACTGGGATGGGCACTGGGATGGGATCGGGGATGGGAATGGACATAGAGGCGGCGGTGGAGATGGAGATGCGATGCGCCGAGGAGCTGCTCAGACGCACCGCCATGGTGCCCGAAGCCGAGGCGCGGGCCCTCGTCCCCCACGGCGAGGCCGCGCCGGCCATGGCTTCGCGCGAGGGCGAGGCAACGGCCATGGTGGGCGAGTTGGAGGCGCCGGAAGATTGCACGCAGGGCGGGGGCATGGCAGACCCGCCGTCGCACCCTCTCGGCGTCGCTGCAGCGCAAGCACCGCCTGCGTCTCGCGGCGACGCACCCTCTCCGGGTGCAGGTGCTGCCCCAGAAGTCGCCCGCTTCTCCCGCCGCAACACGTGGTCCGCAGCGCCGTTACCGTCGTCGGCGGACGCGGCGCTGATGCAGGCGATGGAGCTCGACCGCCTCGAGCACGACGCCGCCATGGCGCGCCTCACCGCCATGGCCGCATCTCACGGCGCCAATCGCGCCCTGCCTCCCGCCCCGCCGCTTGCTTCCACCGTCCTTTCCCCAACCGCCCCCAGTACCCGCCTTTCCGCGGCACCCGCTTCCGCTGCGCGCTCGAGTGACGCCATTATGACAGCTGCGCCTGCCGCCGTGCCCGCCGCCATGGCTGACAGCGCCATGGATGCTCCCTTCCTGCCCGCCCTCGACTTCCCTTCGCGGCCCAAGCGCGCCAAGCCGCCCCACCAGCAGCAGCAGCAGGGGCAGGGGCAGGGGCAGGGGCAGGGGGCTTCTGTGAACCATGAACTTCTGCCCGAGTCCCACCTCCCGCCTGTGCTACCCGCAGCTAGCGCTCCTTCCGCCTGCCCAGCAGCCGTCTCATTGGCCGAGGCCTTCCGCATGGAGGCGCTCCGAGCAGGATGGGGTGCGGGGGAGGGGAAGATGCGGAATGAGGAGACGCGTGAGGGGGGGATGAAGGAGAGGGGTGGGCAGGGCGTCGAGGCATGGCAGGGTGGAGCAAGGGGAGGGCCAGCAGGGGGGGAAAGCGTGGCGTGTGGTGCCTCCAGCGGTCAGACGGGCACGCAGGGGGGCGCGTGTGAAGGGGACGGCGAAGCAGTGGACGCGGAAGTGCCTGGGGGCTCGGAGGGGCAGGCAGACGGGGATGGTGGGGCGGAAGAGCGGGGGAGGGAGGCGGTGATGGAGGGACCCGGCGGCAGCGCAGCAGCGGAGCTGTGCAACCCAGTGAGTGCAGCCGGGGGGGGCACTGCTAGTGGCGGGGGCGGAAAGTCAGCCCAGGCGACAGCAGCAGCAGGAGCAGCGTGTGCAGGGCACGGTGGAGGAGCGATCTTTGACCCCTGGGCCCCCACGCGCACCACCACGTGCACCGTGGCCCACCTGCCGGGCATTGCCCCAGCTGTGCAGGAGCTGCTAGCGCGGCGCTTTGCGGCCAACCAAGAGCGCTCCGCCCTGCCTGCTGTGGCGCCAGAGGTACAGCAGCTGTTTGCCCGCCGCCACACCGTGTCCGGCACTCCCTCACTGCGTCATATGGGCTTGCAGCACAGCCTGCCCCACCCCTTGCAACCACTCCCCTTCACCCTCCCACCCATCCAGTCGCTTGAAGACCCTCTCCCTCTTATGCCTCGCTCCCTCGCTTCCTTTTCCACAACTGCACCTGCTTCAGCAGCTGCCGTTGTGCCATCTGCTCGCACGCTCTTCCCCTCAATGTCACCCTTCAGCAGCACCACCCTGGGAGGGAGCTTAATGCCTTCTCCGCCCACCACCGTGCCAGCGCCCTTCCCCTCGCCTGCCATCCCATCGCCGGCCACCTCATCACCTGCCATCCCGTTCCGCTTCCTCACGCCTCCCCTGACGCCCTCCTCACCTCCCCTCACCGTCACACCCAGAGGAGCCATCAGCGCCGGTGCTGCCAGCAGCAGCAGCAGCGGCAGTGCAGGAGCAGCAGGGCCCTTTGCACGATCAAGAGGGTTTAGGGGTTCAACAGGGCCAAAGGGGTCAACGGGGTCAAAGGGGTTGACAGACCCTTTCACTTTCCCCCCACCCTCTGCAGCGCTCCAAAGCGAGGCAGCACGGGGCAGCACGCTTCATGCCGGCTCCAAGCGAAGCCTTTCCTCCTCCACCCTCCCCTCCATCACTCTGCCTGCCATCCCTCCCTTCCCACCCTCCGCCCCAATCCAACGCCAAACCTTCCTGCCCCTGTCCGCACCTCCCCCTCCCTTCGCAGCCACGTCCTCCCTCCTCCCATTCCTGCCCAACACCTCCACCACGGACCCCCTGCGCTGCCTGGGGTGTGGGATCGAACTAGACCAAGAAAATGCAAGGGAAGCCCTGGCTTTACCTGAGGGGGTGGGGCCGCCTTTGCCTCCCGGCTCGGAAATGCTTGCCGGGCGCATTCCGCGCGTGCACGGGTGTAACGAGTGCCTGCCGCTGCTCGTGCCCAGCTACTTCAGAAGGCGGGCAGCTGCGAAGAAGCACACTCCTAACAAGTCAACGTGAATTGGAATGTGGAGAAATGTTTTTGCAAGTGATGTGTTGTATGAGTCGTGCTAAAAAGGTGTACCTTGATTATAGCAAAAGCACGTCATAAGCTTCCTTTACTGTGGGCGAACATCTTCTAATGCAGAGCCACTCTGGGACGCACAGCATCGTACCCCACAACATTCATGACACACCGTCAGGATTTTTTGCCGCCTGATGTTTCTCCACCTCGCAGTTTTCACGATTTTGCCACCTTCATTCCCTGAGGTCCTCAGGATCATCAGGAGCGCGCCTGTTCCGAACAGCTGAAATTTCTCGTAAGTTCCGTACCCGTTAGTCTGCTGTCGTCTCCTGCCGGCCCTGAGAGCACGAACCCCGCGAGCACTGTCAGCGTCTCGTCGCCGTCCGATCGGAATGCCTGGCGATGCGGAACTAGACCATAGTCGCGGGGAACCTTCCCCGCACAAGCGGAACAGGGGGGGCGCGGAGGAGGCGGATGTTGACTGCAGCGGACTGGCGAGTGTAGACTCAGGGATTGCCAAGGACGAGAGCGCCGCGGGATTTTTTGTCAGTAGCGCCAGGCAGATATGGTATCCGACGCAGTGCGCGACGAAACGGATGCGAGGCGCAGCGGAATCAGGCACGATTATGGAGGAGGGCGGGGGAGAGGGAGGGGCTAAGAGGGGCCAAGGAAACGCGGAAGGACATGGATGCGAGACGCGGGGAAGGGAGGCAGAGGCAGCGGCGGAAAGGCAGGCGAGGGGGGGATTGGCGGAGAGCGAGGAAAGTGCGCGAGGGGATGGCTGTGGCGCGCGCGAGGCATTCTGGGGAGGCGGCGAAATCGGGAGGGCGAGGGAGGAGGTGAAGGAAGAGATGGTGGAGGTGGCGCTGCAAGGCGGCGAGTACGAGGGCGCTCAAGCATTCGTGCCCATACCCCCGTGCCTGTATGCGCCAGCATTGTTTCATCCAGAGCCCTATCAGGACCCCCCACAGGTCCGTGCCTCCCCGCAGCTCCGTGCCTCTCCGCACCTCCGTGCCTCTCCGCCCGTCCATGCCTCTCCGCCCGTCCATGCCTCTCCGCCCGTCCATGCCTCTCCGCCCGTCCATGCCTCTCCGCCCGTCCATGCTTCTCCGCCCGTTCGTGCCTCCCCGCACGTCGGTGGCAGCGCGCGCTGGTCCGTGGCAGCCCCTCTCTGTGAGCCGCTGCTACCAGCAGCGCCCGTGGCACCAGCGCCATTAGCAGCGTCGGCATCATCAGCAGCTGCAGGTCGGCCCCACAGTGCAGTAGGAGCAGCAGGAGAGGCACCATCGGCAACACCAGCAGCAGCAGCCATTGCACCAGCGCCAGCACCAGCGCCAGCACCAGCTCCAGCACCAGCGCCAGCATCAGCACCAGTGGCAGCACCATCGGCAGCAGCGCCACCATCAGCACCAGTGGCAGCACCATCGGCAGCAGCGCCAGCATCAGCAGCAGCTTCAACAACAGCAACAGCAGAAGTGTCAACATCATCACCACCAGTGAGAGCAGCAGCACCATCAGCAGGAGCAGCAACAGCACCAGCAACAGCAGCAGCAGCAGCAGCAGCAGCAGCAGCAGCAGCAGCAGCAGCAGCAGCAGCAGCAGCAGCAGCAGCAGCAGCAGCAGCAGCAGCAGCAGCAGCAGCAGCAGCAGCAGCAGCAGCAGCAGCAGCAGCAGCAGCAGCAGCAGCAGCAGCAGCAGCAGAAGCAGCAGCAGCAGCAGCAGCAGCAGCAGCAGCAGCAGCAGCAGCAGCAGCAGCAGCAGCAGCAGCAGCAGCAGCAGCAGCAGCAGCAGCAGCAGCAGCAGCAGCAGCAGCAGCAACAGCAGCAACAGCAGCACTAGCACCAGCAGCAGCAGCAGCAACAGCAACAACAACGGCAACAGCAACAGCAACAGCAACAGCAACAGCAACAGCAACAGCAACAGCAACAGCAACAGCATCAGCAACAGCAATAGCAGCAGCAGAAGCAGCAGCAGCAACAATAGCAGCAAAAGCGTCAACATCAGCACAACCAGCAAGAGCAACAGCAACAGCAGAAGGACCAGCATCATCACCAGCAATGGCAGCAGCAACAGCAGCAGCAACAGCAGCAGCCGAAATATCATTAATAGCAGCACCACCAGCAACAGCACCAGCACCAGCACCCGCACCCACACCAGCACCAGCACCAGATGACAAGGCAAGCAGCAGTGAGAGGCGTGAGGAAGCGAGGTGCAGAGGAGCAGAGGAGGCAGGGCCGGGGAGCGAGCAGGGCGCAGACATAGGGCGCGGGGATGAGGGGCTGGGAAGGGCGCGACCAGGGCCACCTGGGGATGGCAACCATGGCATGGCACTGGGGCAGAGGCGAGGAGGGAGCGAGGCAGGGCTCAGTGGCGAGTGCGAGGGGGGGAATGCTCGAGGGTGCTTGGCACAGATGCTGCAGGGAGGGGCGAATGAGGGGGGCCATGAGGGGGAGAAGGTGAGATGGGGGGAGCAAACGTCAGGAGAGCAAGCATCAGGTGCGAAGGCGCCTGAGGAAAAGTTGCAGCGAGGTAGTGAGAGAGGGGAGGATTGGAGGCAGGAGATGAGGCAGGGGAGCAGCGCCAGTGGTGGTGGTGGGGGACGGGGAGCAGATGGGGTAATGAGCACTCTGCCTCCTCACAACCTCATGCTGTGCTCACCTGACGGCCCTGTGTCGTGCCCACCTGGGAATCCCATGGCATGCCCTGCTCACGACCCTGTGCCAAGCGCAGAAGCGACAGTACCGTGCACTGACAAGGCCTCAACACTGCCCATGGCACCTGAGAGCCACCCTGAGAGCCGCCCTGAGAGCTGCCCTGAGAGCTGCCCTGAGAGCTGCCCTGAGAGCTGCCCTGAGAGCTGCCCTGAGAGCTGCCCTGAGCATTTCTCTGAGCGTCGCTCTGAAGATGGCTCTGCTGTGCCTCGGGAACAGCTGGCTGAACGTGGCAGCGATACCCCTGGCTGCCCCCCACTGGGACTGGTTGCAGAGGCAGAGAGACCAGGCAGTGACCCGTCTCCCTCTCATGCTGCAACTGCTCATGCGAATCATGCAGGTGCTGCTGCTGATGTGGACCCGCCCGCGCCGTCCCCCACCAGCACTCCACCGCCCCGTCAGCAGGAGGGTCCACGTCAGCAACAACCTAGTTGCGACACTTCAGCACAAGCAGATCCAGGCAATGCCACGGTCACAACAGAGGAAGCAAGGGATGAAGAGGTTGCTGCTGTTCCATACCATGTGCTTGCCGCTCGTGTGTTTGCGGAATTGCGGGGATTGATGCTCGATACCCACGTGGCTCATGAGGACTTGGAAGCAGTTGTGAATGAGGCGGTGATGACGTGGCATCCTGACGTGCGGGCAATGGCGCGAGAGAACGCGTGGGATGCGGCGAAGGGGACGATTGCAAGGGTGGAATGGAAGATTGGCACTTCAATTTTGGCTTTGCGGAAGAAGCTAAAGGTATCCATTGAGGATTTGGATAAAATTCTTGAAAAAGAGGAGGAAGAAGAAAGAAACGGCTAGGGAATTCGAGGTGGAATGTTTTATGATTATTTGAAGTAGGTACGCAAGTTCTGTACCTAACCCAACCATCTATTTTCCCAACTTAGGACTTCATCACTGTCTCGGATCACTGCCTTGCGAGTTCTTCCTTCACATATGGTTTTTTTTTTTTGTTCTTCACTCTTATTTCAAGTGATTCGTGCTCCCGCCTCGTCAGTTCTGCTCGATTCTGCTCGTCAGTATCATCCGCATTCGTACACTGCCACTAAATAATAGTCTCTCGCGTAGTCTATCCAGGCTCTTAAAGCCGTGTTGATCGCCATGGAGGAGGAGGCGATAGAGCGAGCCGTGCTGGCGTACCTGCGTCGCAAGGGCTATAAGAATGCTGAGCTGGCGTTTAAAGACGACTCTAAGACCCAGTCGCTCGATGCGCTCGTTACGGTTGGCGGGAAGGCCGCAGCTGCTGAGCTGGACAAGAATCTAGCCAATCAGATTATGCTTTACAGCAGGTGGGAAGCCACAGGGGACCCTAACCCTTACCGTGACATTATTCGAACCATTGTTTTCGTTAACGTCGATAACTGTGTAGTGTCGCCCATACAGAATTGCCAATGTCATGGATTTGACTGGTTGCAGAAGCGCCACGTGTCTCTTTCGGGGTTGTCACTTCCAGGTCGGAGAAGGCGCCAGCGTGCTATGTGGAAGGTTACAGGAAGCTTCGCGCGTGGGTGCATTCCTCCCTGGACCTCTACAAGGTACTTACCCACAGACCCCCCTTCCTTACCTCTCCTCGCCTCGCCTCGCCTCGCCTCGCCTCTCCTCGCCTCGCCTCGCCTCGCGTCGCGTCCCCCTCCCTCCCCCCTCTCCTTCTCGCAGTCCCCCAGAAGGAGTTGCGCGTGCTGTACCCGGTCCTCGTGCACGCCGCTTTGAGGGTTCCCTAATATTTCTTCACTGCATCCTTCCCACCCCTCTTTCGCGTTCTTCCCCAGAACGAGCTGCTACGCGTGCTGTATCCGGTGTTCGTGCACGCCTTCCTCGAGCTCGTCGCGCAGGACCACCCCGACGCGGCGCGCGCGCTCATGGAGGCGCACGGCGCGGACCACGCGCGCCTGCACGCCAGCGACCTCGCGCAGCTCGCGGGGATCAGCTCCGCGCAGCACGCGCAGGAGAGCCCCCTCGCGCGCGCCTTTCGGGAGAACAAAGCCGTCATCCGCATGTGCCAGGTAGGCACCCCCTGGCCATGCGCATGTGTCGTGTGTGCTCTGCACTGCTCCTCGTGTCCACTGGCGCCTTGTTCCGCTGTCATCCAGCTCGCTTGCTCCCCCTTGCTGTGCCCGCTTCGCACCTCGTCTCCTCACATGCCCTCCCATGCCCCATTTCACACCACCCCACCCCAACCCATCCCCCATGGCACGACCCTACGGCAGTACTCATTCGACCTGTTGCTGCAGTTCCTGCACGCCGCTGACCTCATGGCCATCCTCGCGCTCGTCAACCGCCACATCCACATCATCGGTGCGTTGCTGTGCCACACTCGCATGCACATCAACGCCAACTCGCATCGCATCCATGCTATTCGCTTCTTCCCAGTTCAATCCATGCCGTGTTGCTTGCAGCCATTCATGTTCCACACACTCGCTGCATCCATGGTGCAGCACCCCCCCCCCCTCCCTCCACCACTCCTTTGCCCTTTTCCTCCTCTTTCCTCTTCCCTTTGCCCCTGCTCCCCCCTCCCCCTGCTCCCCTACCTCACGCGCAGTGCATGCGGGGCGGCCAGCAGCTCAGGAGGAGGAGGAGGACGAGGCAACGGGCATGGTGTCAAGCGCAGGGGCGGACGGGGGGGGCATGGGGGGGGGCATGCTGGCGGGGGTGGTGACAGGGGCGACGCACGAGGCGGTGAGGCGCATGGGGCAGCGCGAGGTGCTGTGGGGCGCGCTGGAAGACGGCGTGGAGCACCGGCTGGAGCAGGAGAGAGAGAGGGAGGCTGAGAAGGAGGAGGGCGACGAGGGCGAAGGGGAGGACGGCAAGGTGAGAGGCGTGTGGGTGGTGTGGCGTGTGCGTTTGAGATGCGTGTGGGTGGTGTGGCGTGTGCGTTTGAGAGGCGTGTGGGTGGTGTGGCGTGTGCGTTTGAGAGGCGTGTGGGTGGTGTGGCGTGTGCGTTTGAGAGGCGTGTGGGTGGTGTGGCGTGTGCGTTTGAGAGGCGTGTGGGTGGTGTGGCGTGTGCGTTTGAGAGGCGTGTGGGTGGTGTGGCGTGTGCGTTTGAGAGGCGTGTGGGTGGTGTGGCGTGTGCGTTTGAGAGGCGTGTGGGTGGTGTGGCGTGTGCGTTTGAGAGGCGTGTGGGTGGTGTGGCGTGTGCGTTTGAGAGGCGTGTGGGTGGTGTGGCGTGTGCGTTTGAGAGGCGTGTGGGTGGTGTGGCGTGTGCGTTTGAGAGGCGTGTGGGTGGTGTGGCGTGTGCGTTTGAGAGGCGTGTGGGTGGTGTGGCGTGTGCGTTTGAGAGGCGTGTGGGTGGTGTGGCGTGTGCGTTTGAGAGGCGTGTGGGTGGTGTGGCGTGTGCGTTTGAGAGGCGTGTGGGTGGTGTGGCGTGTGCGTTTGAGAGGCGTGTGGGTGGTGTGGCGTGTGCGTTTGAGAGGCGTGTGGGTGGTGTGGCGTATGCGTTTGAGAGGCGTGTGGGTGGTGTGGCGTGTGCGTTTGAGAGGCGTGTGGGTGGTGTGGCGTGTGCGTTTGAGAGGCAGGTGTGGGCACGGGATGCATGGGGCAGCGCGAGGTGCTGTGGGGCGCGCTGGAGGACGGGATGGAGCACTGGCTGGAGAAGGTGAGGGAGCGGGAGGGCGAACGAGAGGAGGGCGAGGACGGCGGCAGGGAAGGCGAGGGGGAGGACGGCAAGGTGAGATGCGTGTGGGTGGGTGGTTCTCTCTGCCATACATGTTTTTCAATCGCTGGTTTCCAGGCGCCCATAAGCGGTCTCTGATCCTTTGCCTCCTTGCATGCTGCCTCCCTGCTGCCTCACTCCCTCCAGAAGCGGGCGGCGGACGGCAAGGCAGCAGCAGGGGCGCCGGGCGGCAAGAAGGGCAAGAAAGACAAGGCGGGGGAGAAGGACGCGCTCAAGGGGGGCGCGGGGGGCGGAGCAGGAGGGGCAGTGGGGGCAGGGGGCGGCGCTGGAGGAAAAGGGGGGAAGGCGGGGGAGGGCAAGGGGGCGGGGGGGGCTGCTGCGATGGCTGCCACGCGTGTGGCATCGCACCTGCCTCTCCCCAAGATGTGAGCTTCCGCCACTCTCTGCTTTTCTCGTTCTGCCGTCTCTCCCCACCTGGCCACGTCCTGCTGCCTTGCTCTGGTTCGATTCAACCGTGGCTCAGCTCCTCTGCTCCTTTCACCCGTGTCTCTCCTTTCTCTTCTTCTCCCCGGTCTGCTGCTGCCGCGGGTGGTCACACAAGGCAGGAGGGAGGAGGCGGAGAAACAGGTGTTTGACGACTTGAGGCGGCGCGTGGCGCTGGGAGCGCAGGCGCTGCCGTCTGTGTGCTGCTACACGCTGCTGCATGCGCACTCCAGGTATCCACTGCTCTGCTGTGTGCATGCGCACTCCAGGTATCCACTGCTCTGCTGTGTGCATGCGCACTCCAGGTATCCACTGCTCTGCTGTGTGCATGCGCACTCCACGTATCCACTGCTCTGCTGTGTGCATGCGCACTCCAGGTATCCACTGCTCTGCTGTGTGCATGCGCACTCCACGTATCCACTGCTCTGCTGTGTGCATGCGCACTCCAGGTATCCACTGCTCTGCTGTGTGCATGCGCACTCCAGGTATCCACTGCTCTGCTGTGTGCATGCGCACTCCACGTATCCACTGCTCTGCTCTGCTGTGCTGTGAGCACGCTGCTGCGGTCGTGCTCGAGATGGGCTGTTATGCACAGTGTGCTGCTGCAAGCACAGAAGCCAAGCCACCCTGCCGCACTGCCTCAGCACAGCGGCTTCTGATTGAGTACCACTCAACTTCTCTTGATTGACTGCTGCCTCGCTCTCTCACTTTCTCGCCCCGCACTTTTGAGACGTCTCAAAACTCTCTCACTTTCTCACCCCGCACTTCTGTCCTGTGTGCCCTGCGTTCCCCCACGCCAGCATGACGTCAGTGTCGGTTGCTCCTGATGGTGCACTGCTGGCTGCAGGCTTCAATGACTCCTCCATTAAGGTGACACACATGCATCAGGTTAAGTTCGCTGCACATCAACTTCAACCTCCAAGATGATAAGCATACAGCAAGTCCAAACCAATCGTGCATAATAATGACTTTTTTTTCCATGATGGTAATGCTCACGCACTCATTGCATGGCAGCACGTATGGTAGCGTCTGTCGCATGTCCCCACTCTCACATGCTCTCTCAAAACATTATTCCTTCCTCCCCTCTCGTCCCGTTGTTTCCCATACGTCTCTTTTCTCCCACCATACAGGTGTGGGACATGCGATCCATTGGCTCCTCCCCCTTGCCACAAGGTATGTCTCTCCAGTGCGTCTTCTCACATCTCGTTTCTCATTTCGCATTTTGCATCTCTCAGTTCTCCTCTCGATCACATCCTGCTCACCTCCCACCCACGTCATTCCTCATCCCTCACATCACCTCCCCATCTTTCTCTTCATCATCAAACCTCATGTGTCCCACTCCCCCCTCTGTCCCCCGTCCCCGTCCCCTCTTCCCCCAGCCGCAAGATGTCTCGACACCTCAGCAGCAGCGGAAGCCCCAGCCATGCAGCACACCCCACGTGGCCAACCCACAGCCACCACCACACCCACCACCAGCACCCCCAACACCACCAGCAAGCGCTACATGGCACTGAGGGGTCACAGTGGCGCCGTGCACACAACCTCCTTCAGCCCCTCAGACGACCGCTTCCTACTCTCCGCCTCCTCTGACGCCTCGGTGCGCCTGTGGCACCTGGGGCTGGGCGCGTGCCTGGTGGCATACCGCGCGCACTGCTACCCTGTGTGGGACGTGCAGCACTCGCCAGTGGGCCACTACTTTGCGACGGCGTCGTATGACCGCACGGCACGCGTGTGGAGCATGGAGCGCTCGTACCCGCTGCGCATCATGGCAGGCCACCTCTCCGACGTGCATGTCAGTCGATTGTCTTATTTCTCTTCTAAAATAAATCCACCTTGCTGCTCTTCCTCGTGAGTGAAGTCGACGTGCATGTCAGTGCCTTCCTTTTTAGCTGCATCTCATTCTTGATGTGCGCCGCTGCCACGCCAGCTGCAACTAGATTATCACCGCCTTCACTGCCAACCCAAGCCCTCCACCAGCCTCTCTTCCTCACACCTCTCTCTTCCTCTCTTCCCACCCACCCCCCCCCCCCCAGGCGGTGCGGTGGCACGCCAACTGCAACTACATCGCCACGTGCTCCAGCGACAAGACGCTGCGCCTGTGGGACGTGCAGACGGGCGAGTGCTGCCGAGTCTTTGCTGCCCACCGCTCGCCCGTGTACGCACTCGCCACATCCCCGGACGGCCGCTTCCTGGCGTCGGGGGATGAGGGAGGTGCCGTGCTGCTGTGGGACCTGGGTACAGGCCGCTGCATCGCCCCGCTGCTGGGGCACACTGGCTGTGTGTGGACGCTCGCCTTCAGGTGGGTGCGGTGAGGTGTAGTGCGGTGCTCTCCTGCTGTATGCTCCGCAGCAATGTCATTCGCGCCCTCCACAAGTTGAGATTCTGCCTGGACTGACCCTCACAGCCTGCCTGCCCCAACCAGCACCTGCTGCTATTCCTATGCATCACAACTTCAATCTCCACCCCGTCTGCATCCCATGCATCTCCTCCCCCCATGTGCCTTGCTGTCTGTGGGGCGAGCAGTGGGGAGTCGGCAGTGCTGGCGTCGGGGGCAGCGGACGACACAGTGAGGCTGTGGGACGTGGCTGCTGCCAGCAAGCTCGCTCCCAACGAGGCCAAGTGAGTGCCGGGGTGGGCTAGTGAGTGGCAGGTTGGGTGACATAGTGCAAGTGCGTGGCAGGGAGGCAGATCGCAGAGATGTCAGGCTGATCATGAAAAGCTGTTTGTGTTTCCATCATCCCTCTCTGCCTGCCCTCTCTGAACGCGCCTCCATCCACATTGCCCAACCTGCCTTCCTTGCCTTTCCTCTGGTGGGTCTCCCCTCAGTGTTGCATGCTCCTCCCTTCCCTCCACCCCCCTCCACGCCTGCCCATGCGGGCGGCATCAGAACATCGGTGGGGCGGCGGTTGCGCCTTCTCAAGACCTTCCCCACCAAGTCAACACCCATCTCAGCCCTGCAGGTATCCCCCTCTCAGCCCTGCAGGCATCCCCCTCTCAGCCCTGCAGGTATCCCCCTCTCAGCCCTGCAGGTATCCCCCTCTCAGCCCTGCAGGTATCCCCCTCTCAGCCCTGCAGGCATCCCCCTCTCAGCCCTGCAGGCATCCCCCTCTCAGCCCTGCAGGTATCCCCCTCTCAGCCCTGCAGGCATCCCCCTCTCAGCCCTGCAGGTATCCCCCTCTCAGCCCTGCAGGTATCCCCCTCTCAGCCCTGCAGGTATCCCCCTCTCAGCCCTGCAGGCATCCCCCTCTCAGCCCTGCAGGCATCCCCCTCTCAGCCCTGCAGGTATCCCCCTCTCAGCCCTGCAGGCATCCCCCTCTCAGCCCTGCAGGTATCCCCCTCTCAGCCCTGCAGGCATCCCCCTCTCAGCCCTGCAGGTATCCCCCTCTCAGCCCTGCAGGCATCCCCCTCTCAGCTCTGCAGGCATCCCCCTCTCAGCCCTGCAGGCATCCCCCTCTCAGCCCTGCAGGCATCCCCCTCTCACCGCCCATCTCTCCTCGAACCACAAAGTGCCGCTTGTCTCTGTCTGCCTCCCGCTTCTCCTCTTGCAAGTGTCTAGTTCCCATTCGCAATCCTCCAAGGCCCCCCGCTGTGCGACTCCCCGACCCCTCCCCTTCTCCACTACTCCCTCCCAACGCTCCCTTCCACCACTCCCCTCTCGGCAGTTCACGCGGCGCAACCTGCTTGTGGCAGCTGGGGCCTTCAAACACTCTGACCCCGCATCTTGATGTTGCATGCCACATGTCATGCCAGCATGGGTGTGCTGGGCGAGGCATGGTGCGCAAATTTTTGCATGCTTCAGTGTTGGATGCAACAGCTGTAGTCAAAAGGTGTTTCATACTTGTTATGGTAACATAACCCACTCCCTTGATGCAATCTTAGCCGGAGGTAAACTGAATAACCAGCTGCACTAAAGTTTTGATGCAAAGTGCATCAACCTGCAGGTAGCACAAACAAGTTATCTCTACATTGGAAGGTGAATCTGAGGTAACGCTTATCCTAAAATTAGCAAGAACACAAGCAAAGCTAGCAATGGCGTATCTGTTTCAACAAACAGTATAGACAGCACACACTGACGCCATTATTGACACGCATACGTGCTGCCTTAGCTAAGCACGAATGTACACCATGACTGGTAGTAATGGACCGGGAAGAAAAAAAGAAAGGACAAAATAAAACTACAAAATATACGGACTTCTCAGCTGGCCCAGGGGTTCGACATCACCGCCCCCCGGTGCGAGCCTGCTACTGCATGCGGCTGTGCGCCGCCAATCCCCCCGCCTTGCGCCACCATGGCTGCGCGCGCCTGCATCAACCCCGCGGGGTGCATCGCCTGCTCCACTCCTCCCCAAGCCTCCACTCCCCCCCATCCGTCCCCCCCATCCACATCCATAGCGCAGTCGTTAATAGTTCCTCCCCGCCGCGCGCCTCCCGCCTGGCCCCTCTGAACCCCCGCGGCAATATCCCCAGAGACTGTCCCCGCCTGCCACGGGTTCGTGACAAAAACGTTCCGCGGTTGGCGCAATGTTTGCGCAGCGGCTGTTCCCCGACGCTCCGCGCGGGTGCTGCAGACCTCCTCCTCGCTGTCGGATCCCGCGCCACCCGCGCCGTTCGCGGCGTGCAGCGCTTGGCTACGCGCGTCCACGCTGCTCGCGTCATTCACCGCGTTAATAGCAACAGCGGAACGGTCGGATTTGCGCGCGGAGCGGATGCAGTCCAGCGACCGGCGGCGGCGGGAAGGATCGTTGTGCGGCGCGTAGAGACACGCCCAGTCCGTCGCCCCCGGCGCCGCACTCGCCGCTGGCGCTGGTGCTGGCGCTGGCGTTTGGGTGCGCACAGCCGAAGCAGAATGGTCGAAACCCGCTTCGAGCTGTGGTTGCATGAGGGGCTGCCCGCTTGGTCGTCCAAACACATCCTGACCGTTGTAGGCGCTGTTTCGGTGCATCGGCCGCTCAAGATCGTCGATTTGGAGGGACATGCGGCGCGTGGAGGGGATGGGGGACTCGACCGCGGTAGACATGGGGGAGCGGGAGGGGCACGGGGAGTGCGCGGACGGCGGAGTGGCGGAGACCTCCATTGCGACCATGGCGGAGTGCAGCTCCAGGCGCTGGCGGTGGGATCCGCCGTTCAACATACGCTGAAACATTTTCAAGAGCTCTCTGCAGTCCACCGCCTTTGGTTTGTCAACTCCAAAGCCCCTCGGTGGCGGCTTCGACGGCAAGTCGAAATCTGATAAGACTAAGAAACGCGCCGGATTTGCCGAGGTATCAGTCGGGGGACGAGGTGCAACAATCCCGTCAGTTGTGCCCCTCCAACCCAAGCTAAGCTTGCCGTTATGTCCTGTGAAACTAGAGTAACAAAACAATGGCAGTTGTGAAAACTAGGGCTTCAAGAGGTGAGAAGAGGAAAAGAGGATGGAATAATGGAAGCGAGGGCAGAATGGGGGAAGGGGAAGTGCGGAGCGGAGGGTGAGATAGTCCGCGCCTGCAACCTGATGGTGATGAGTGGTGGCGGATCTTCTGCCCAAACAGCACTGCGCCGCACGCTTCCGCTTCGCTCGTTCGTGCCCCTTCAGCCCGTGAGGAGAATCCAACAGCCCTCCCTCCTTCCCCCCCACCCCACATGAACCTCGTCCACTTTCGAAACCGCTCCCACTCCTGCTGGACTCGGTTTTTCCCAGCTCTGCTGTCCGCCTCCTCCGCATAGCGGAGCAGTTGATGCGCCACAACTCACAGTGCCCGCTTTCGAGTGTGGCACTGTGGCGGTGACCTCGATCGCAGTCAAAGTTTTGTGGGGCAGAGCCAGCCCAGCTGGCTCTGGGGGACTTGCTTGGTGGAAGTGGCAGAACAGATCAGGCTGGGCAGGTGAAAGAATCGCCCTTGAAGGGAAGGGACAGGATCAAGAGCTTCATGCTGGGCGTTACAGTCCACGCTGTTACGATATTCACAATTCCTGACAAGGGAGGCCGCCCAGTGACAGTCTGTCTGGGTCTGCGCCACAAAAATGGCCCGCAACATCACACCCACACACAGTGCGCCAAATCTTTTCCTGGCCCCTCCACAAGTTCTGGTGGACCACAGAAATAGGGTTGCAGCAGCATCTGCTCCGTTTCATGAAAGCACTTTCTTGTGGCGTTTGGCCGGGATGAAAAACCACCCGTACACCTCATTCAAAACAAACTTCCATATAGATTAACCCCCTGCAACTGTGCATAGATTTATCCCCAACCCGAGTAACAAGCAACACATCAATCTGACATTGCGAGTGTGGTGCTTTGGTCGGCTGGATTCTGGGCAGATTGGGAAAACATCTGTCAAATAGTCTTGCCCAATCACGGCTTTGCAGCAAGTCTGACTGTCGTGTGTGTGTGTGGCGTTGCATTGCAACAGTCGTTTGTGTAAACCCAAGAGGCTCCAATAGGACGTCGAAGAATGAACTTCTTCCTCAGCGTTCCATTGGTCGAATATTTGTCCAGCTATCAGACACCGAATCCTGCGACGTTAAAAAATTTGGGCCCATGTTTTTCTGCCATACCATTCGCAAGCCCCAATTTTCCTCACCATCCCCGAATGTGACTCCTTACAGTGCACCTCACAACACGGGATCTGTGCAGCTATACATGTTATGTGGTCGTGCCATATATAAACAGAATACAGCACTGCCGCATATTGTGCATATTCAGTCCACATCATAGCACCGCATGTACACCGCATTGGCTGTACATATACGTTTCAGCGATGGAACAGTCCAAATCTAATTTGCCGATCAATGATTGACTAATCGACGCAGTTACCATTCCCGTGCTCTCGCTCGGCACTCGAATGCCATCACTCAGCTCAGACATTACATATTCCCGTTTTCCACCAGCTATCATCGCCTCCACCTTTTCTTCCGCTGTTTTGACGCGGCGCCTGCTCCCTGCTTCCGAACCTCATGGCGGCTGCGGCTCCGCCTGCTGCCGAGCGAGCTACGGCATCGCGAGCTGCAGAGTGGCCCGAGCTATCCGCTGTTAAAGGGCTCAGCAGCAATTTTCGCATCCTGTCAACTGACCAGGTACCGTCCGACCAGCTATTAGACACCAAACTGAATCATTCTACGTCAGGTGGCGTCCAAATTCCCGTCATGTCTTCTTTCCCGCCCCTCGTCCCGCGATCGTCATCTTTCGGGTGTCCTCCCTGCTTTGCCTGCTTGCTCCGCTTCTCCGCCCTTTCTTTGCCTCCGATCTTCAGATTGACCTGGCCGGCAAGCTTGTCTCATGCGGTCAAGCGCATCTCTTCTCCCATTGGCCGGAGCCTGGAAGCAATGATGACGACAAGCGGCGGTTCTTCGAGCAGGTGAGGGAAGGAAGGAGGGCGATGGGAGCATCCCATAGCACCATGCCTATGCGTCTCCACGCTACGAGTCTTGCCCGCAGCCTGCACCATAAACCCTTCCCCTTTTCTCCCCCGTTCCCCCAACCTCCCTCCTCAATCTACGCCTCTACTGTCTCCTCCCGACTCTCCCGGCTCCCCCGCCCCCCCAGGCGGCGCGGCTGGATGCGAGCTACCCGGGGGGGCTGCCGCGCTACATCAGCAACGCGAGGCGGCTGCTCGCGGACTCGCGGGACGGAGTGAACCCCTTCCATGGCTTCACGCCCGCCGTGCCCTCAGGCGTGCGCGTCAGGTTCGGCGACCCCGAGTTCGACGAGTTTGAGGCTCGGGGAATGGCGGAGGCTCGGAATGCGGCGTTTGTGCTGGTGGCGGGCGGGCTGGGGGAGAGGCTCGAGTACAGTGGCATTAAGGTGGGGAAATAGAGAGCAGAGGAGAGGAGAGGAGAGGAGAGGGAGTATTCACCAGGCCGACCAGTTCTCTTCTCCATCCCCACCCCTCTGCCCACTCTTCCTCCCCTCCTCCTCCCCTCTCTCTCACAATCCCTCTCCAAGCTCCGTTTGCTGCGACCCTAAATCCCCTCCTCCTGAATGTGGTGCCATGCTCCATGCACGTGGGGCTGCCATGCACGTGGGGCTGCCATGCACGTGGGGCTGCCATGCACGTGGGGCTGCCATGCACGTGGGGCTGCCATGCACGTGGGGCTGCCATGCACGTGGGGCTGTCATGCACGTGGGGCTGCCATGCACGTGGGGCTGCCATGCACGTGGGGCTGTCATGCACGTGGGGCTGCTATGCACGTGGGGCTGCCATGCACGTGGGGCTGCCATGCACGTGGGGCTGCCATGCACGTGGGGCTGCCATGCACGTGGGGCTGCCATGCACGTGGGGCTGCCATGCACGTGGGGCTGCCATGCACGTGGGGCTGTCATGCACGTGGGGCTGCCATGCACGTGGGGCTGTCATGCACGTGGGGCTGCCATGAACGTGGGGCTGCCATGCACGTGGGGCTGCCATGCACGTGGGGCTGCCATGCACGTGGGGCTGCCATGCACGTGGGGCTGCCATGCACGTGGGGCTGCCATGCACGTGGGGCTGCCATGCACGTGGGGCTGCCATGCACGTGGGGCTGCCATGCACGTGGGGCTGTCATGCACGTGGGGCTGCCATGCACGTGGGGCTGCCATGCACGTGGGGCTGTCATGCACGTGGGGCTGCCATGCACGTGGGGCTGCCATGCACGTGGGGCTGTCATGCACGTGGGGCTGCCATGCACGTGGGGCTGCCATGCACGTGGGGCTGCCATGCACGTGGGGCTGCCATGCACGTGGGGCTGCCATGCACGTGGGGCTGCCATGCACGTGGAGCTGCCATGCACGTGGGGCTGCCATGCACGTGGGGCTGCCATGCACGTGGGGCTGCCATGCACGTGGGGCTGCCATGCACGTGGGGCTGCCATGCACGTGGGGCTGCCATGCACGTGGGGCTGCCATGCACGTGGGGCTGCCATGCACGTGGGGCGGCCATGCCAGCAGAGAGCTTCTCAGACGTCTCAAATCTTTCCTTGCGGTGCCGTGGCCCCTGCAGGTGGTGCTACCGGCAGAGAGCACCACGGAGCACTGCTTCCTGCAGCACTACATTGAGAGTATCCTCGTGCTGCAGCACGCCTCCAATGGCCTCACGCCAGGTCAGCAGCACTGCATCACTCCTGCAAAAAAAAAAAGGGGGTTTCATCTGCCCACGGGCCCATGGGTCACCTGCCCAACCCGTGTCGTTTCATCTCCTGCCTTTTCCTCTCACCCCCCATCAGATGAGCCCCCACGGCGCATCCCCCTGGCTATCATGACATCGGATGACACTCATGCACGCACACAGGCACTGCTCAGCACGCACGGCTACTTTGGCATGCACCCCGCCCAGCTCACCCTGCTCAAACAGGTCTGTTTTTTATGCCCGTGCGAGAGGGATAGGGGTGAGAGGGCTCCCCAAGGCGCACAGACACTTTGGCATGCACCCCGCCCAGATCACCCTGCTCAAACAGGTCCGCGCTTCATGCTGTGTGAGAGGGGCGAGAGGGGTGTGTGAGGGGTGTGGAGTGGAGGGTGTGACGAGTGTGAAGCTTCTGGGATGAGGCAGCTTGAAATCTCTCTGCATGCCATGCTTATTCTGACAGCGCTACTGAGCGCAAGAGGGAACTGGCCGTGACACGCTGCGTAAAGCGCGGCACTGCTGCCCCTCCCGTCCCCCCACACGAGAGGCATGGCAGGAGAAGGTGGCGTGTGTGGTGGACAACGACGCGCTCCTGGCCTTCGACCCCAAGCACCCCTTCTGTTTGAGGCAAATTGAAATCTCTCTGTTTGCCTCGTGCCCTGCTGACAGCATTGCTCCCTCCCTCCCATCCCGTGCAATGCAACGGTGGCATGGCAGGAGAAGGTGGCGTGTGTGGCGGACAACGATGCCCACCTTGCACTCGACCCCAGGGACCCTTTCCTCATCCAGGTGTGCTCGCCTCCCTGCCCTGCACACATGCCTCTCGCATCACTCTGCTCGTACCTCTTACATCTCTCTCAACCTCCCACTCCGTTTGTTCCGCTCACTCCATGTGCTCCGCTGTCTAAGCCTCCCTACATGCTTCCAACCCATGCTGGGATAATCTGGCTCAATCTGGCAGACGAAGCCGCATGGCCATGGCGATGTGCACATGCTGCTGCACCAGAGCGGCCTCCTGCCCTCATGGTACGTGTGCCCACATGCCATGCCATGGGATTTTGCAATGATTGTGATGCCATGGTCTTTTCCTGCTCATCATCGGCCCAGAATGTGAGATTGTGCCATGGTCTACATGTGTCCACTGCGTTCATTAATATGCGCATATGGCTTCCACATGGTTGTGGCAAATGGCACATGGCACATGCACATGGCACGTGCAGGAGAGCAGCAGGGGTGGAGTGGGTGCTATTCTTTCAGGACACCAACGGGCTTCTCTTCAAGGTACTGCTCATGTGCATCGCATCACACCGCACCACACCGCATCAAGATCGTCACGTCAAGCATGCGTCAAGGGGCGTGTTCAGATGTACATTTGCAGTGGCTAGTGAGCGTTGAGCCATGCAGGGAGCGCCATGCGAATTGAAAACACGGCTCCTGTTGAGTTCAGTCAGAGAGCCCTTCAGATGCAAGCACCATACCGTCCATGCACTGGTCATGCTGCAGCAATCTCGCACCATAGGGCCACAGCTCTCAACCAGTTTCCGCACCCCGTTACACTCCAACACCTCTCTATCTGCCTCCCCTGTCCGCCTCCCCTGTGTGCCTCCCCTTGGTCCGCCTCCCCCTGTGTGTGCTATGGTGGCAGGTGGTACCGAGCTCGCTGGGAGTGAGTGCGCTGAGGCAGCTGGATGTGAATTCACTAGCCGTGGACTAGTGGGTCACCTGCATCAATTGCACACCTCCCAACCCAGTTTCCGCACCTCATTAGACTCCCAACACCTCTCTGCCTGCCTCCTCGTCTCCCTTGCCAGGTGGTGCCGAGCTCGCTGGGGGTGAGTGCGCTGAGGCAGCTGGACGTGAACTCACTAGCCGTGCCTCGCAAGGCCAAGGAGGCAATTGGGGGCATCGCGAGTCTCACGCACTCCGATGGTATGGATGGATGGTAGGGTAGGGGGTGAGTGGTATGAGGGAAGGGATCAAGGGAGGGGTGAGCGCACTCCGATGGTATGGATGGATGGTAGGGTAGGGGGTGAGTGGTATGAGGGAAGGGATCAAGGGAGGGGTGAGCGCACTCCGATGGTATGGATGGATGGTAGGGTAGGGGGTGAGTGGTATGAGGGAAGGGATCAAGGGAGGGGTGAGCGCACTCCGATGGTATGGATGGATGGTAGGGTAGGGGGTGAGTGGTATGAGGGAAGGGATCAAGGGAGGGGTGAGCGCACTCCGATGGTATGGATGGATGGTAGGGTAGGGGGTGAGTGGTATGAGGGAAGGGATCAAGGGAGGGGTGAGCGCACTCCGATGGTATGGATGGATGGTAGGGTAGGGGGTGAGTGGTATGAGGGAAGGGATCAAGGGAGGGGTGAGCGCACTCCGATGGTATGGATGGAGAGGTGGGGGGGTGGGGTGGGGTGGGGGTAGGTATCAAGGGATGGGTAAGCACCCTGAGGCAGCTGGACTTGAACTCCCTGGCTGTGCCTCGCAAGGCCAAGGAGGTGAGTTGGGCTCGTGAGTTGGGCTCGTGAGTTGGGCTCGTGAGTTGGGCTCGTGAGTTGGGCTCGTGAGTTGGGCTCGTGAGTTGGGCTCGTGAGTTGGGCTGGCAAGTTGGGCTGGCAAGTTGGGCTCGTAAGTTGGGCTGGCAAGTTGGGCTCGTAAGTTGGGCTGGTAAGTTGGGCTCGTAAGTCGGGCTGGTAAGTTGGGCTCGTAAGTTGGGCTGGCAAGTAAGTTGGGCTGGCAAGTTGGGCTGGCAAGTTGGGCTGGCAAGTTGGGCTGGCAAGTTGGGCTGGCAAGTTGGGCTGGCAAGTTGGGCTGGCAAGTTGGGCTGGCCAGTTGGGCTGGCAAGTTGGGCTGGCAAGTTGGGCTGGTAAGTTGGGGATCGCCAGACTCACACGCTCCGATGGTATGCATAGAGAGTGGGAAGAAGGGGTGGGTTGATGGGGAAAAGCGGATGGGTTGTTGGCCACGGGCATGGGCAGGGTTTAGGCTGTGCTGGTGCTCGCCTCACTTGCAGTGCTTCAGCCATCCGTCCATCCATGCATTCACACACCATGCATCCCACCATGCAGGTCGCAGCATGGTGGTGAATGTGGAGTACAACCAGCTCGACCCGTTGCTGCCGTTGCTGAGGGCGTGCTGATGCATGTGCCCTCATGCATCTCACTCTCAATGCATCGTCCATCCCTCCATCCACCATCCTTCCGCAGGTCGCAGCATGGTGGTGAACGTGGAGTACAACCAGCTCGACCCGTTGCTGCGGGCGTGCGGGCATGACGACGGGGATGCCAACGACCCCACCACCGGCTTCTCACCCTTCCCGGGGAACATCAACCAGGTCACCCGCCATTCACATCGCATTCCATCCCATTCCACACCATGCCACTCCATGCCATGCCACCCCATGCGGTGTCGTCCAAGTGAGCAATGCATCGGTCCTCGCATCTCCACCCTTCCCTTGCATCTCCACCTTTCCCTTGCATCTCCACCTTTCCCTTGCATCTCCACCTTTCCCTTGCATCTCCACCTTTCCCTTGCATCTCCACCTTTCCCTTGCATCTCCACCTTTCCCTTGCATCTCCACCTTTCCCTTGCATCTCCACCTTTCCCTTGCATCTCCACCTTTCCCTTGCATCTCCACCTTTCCCTTGCATCTCCACCTTTCCCTTGCATCTCCACCTTTCCCTTGCATCTCCACCTTTCCCTTGCATCTCCACCTTTCCCTTGCATCTCCACCTTTCCCTTGCATCTCCACCTTTCCCTTGCATCTCCACCTTTCCCTTGCATCTCCACCTTTCCCTTGCATCTCCACCTTTCCCTTGCACCTCTTTGCACGCCCACCAACTCTCGCTCCCTCTTCTCCCCGCCGGCCCCAACGTACAGCTCGTGCTGCGCCTGGACCCCTATATAGAGGAACTCGCTAAGACGCATGGAGTGATCGGGGAGTTTGTCAATCCCAAGTGAGTGCAGCAGCAAGCGAGGGAAAGGGTGGTGCACGTATGACTTGTGCTCTGCCCTGGAAGGCCGGCACTCCGTCTCGTCCATCAGTTGCTCACTTTTGAAGCACTGCAAGAGTTGCTCACTTTTGAAGCACTGCAAGAGTTGCTCACTTTTGAAGCACTGCAAGAGTTGCTCACTTTTGAAGCACTGCAAGAGTTGCTCACTTTTGAAGCACTGCAAGAGTTGTTTACTTCGTCGTCTTCTTCGCCTGCCATGCTGGCTGGCAACGGGTGGGTTTCCATTCCCTTTGTCAACCCTTAAACCTTTGCTCTGCCTCCCTTTCTCCTCTCCCTCTCCATCTCCCTCCCCCCCCATCAGGTACACAGACGCCTCGCGCACGGCTTTCAAGGCGTCCACGCGTCTCGAGTGCATGATGCAGGACTTTCCCCAAGCCATTCACCCCTCCCGCTCTGTTGGATTCACTGTCAGTTACTCTCTCCCACGTCTCCTTCACTGAAACTTCCACCCCTCTCTCCCTCCTCTCCCCCACTTCTCTACTGCCCACCCCCCCGTTTTTTTTTTACATTGCCATGAAAGCATGTATCTTGCGGCTCCTATTTCACTTTTTGTAGGAACTGCTGTGCAAGCAACCTTGCTTGACACGCTCACGTGCTCCCCTCCCTTCCTCAGTTCCCCCTCCTCTCCTCTCTTCCCTCCTCCCCTTCTATCTTCCCCCTCTCCCTCCGTCCCTTCCCCACCCCCCTCAGGAAGCTGACGTGTGGCTTGCCTATTCGCCCGTAAAGAACAATCTCAGCGACGCCATCGCCAAGCTGGCGGCCGGCACGCCACCGCACAGCGCCACGTCAGCAGAGCTCCACCTGTACCGCGCCAACTGTCTCATCCTGAGGCACCTGGGCGTCCACGTGGCAGGCCCTAAGACCACCGTGATTGCCGGGCAAGAGGTGGAGATCTGGCCTCGTGTGGTGTGGTTCCCCCTCTGGGCTCCCACGCTGGCTGCTTTGCGCTCACGCTTCCCCCACCCCGACCAAGTGCGGATCTCTGAGGACTCGACCTTGGTCATTGAGGTGGAAGGGGGGTTGGATGGAGGAAGAGGAGAGGGAGACGAGGTGGGGTGGGAGGGTCAGGCAGGGGAGATAGAGGGTGGGGCAGTAGGGGAGGCGGGGAGAGGCGAGAGGGAGGGGGAGGGGGAGGGGCAGCAGGAGGGGCAGGTGGAGGTGCATAGCTTGCAGCTGGATGGAGCAATGTGGGTGAGAGCGGGAAGAGGCGTGACACTGGTGCTGGAAGGTCTCCAGGTGTCGAACCGTGGTTGGCCGATTGTGCAAGTGGACCCGGAGGATCCGGAGATCCCTGAGTGGATTCGAATCCGCGGGTTCAAGATTGACAGGCAGGAGTGCAGGCGAGTGGAGGAGAATGCAGGGGAGAGCAGGCGAGTGGTGGTGAGAGAATGAGGGCAAATGCAGGAGGGCCGATGCACGCACATGCATCTGGAAGTGTTGCATCCTTGGATGTCATCCAAGGCATGCAAACATCCTTCTTTGGAGTGTGAGATGCCATGTGATATGCAACTAGCTTGGTGCAGTGACGAGTGCACACATTAAGTATTCATAGGAGGTAATACATTACATGTAGTGTAGTTCTAGATACAAGTGAACTGTACACTGTCCCTCATGCAATCAGTCGGAGTCGACAGCAAAGATGTCTCCAAAAGGCAGAGGTGGAGAATCCCCTTTATGCGACGAGTCCTCTCTCCTTGCACCCACTGATACATGTGCACCTGATGCTCCTCGTGCTCTCGCTTCCCCACCTGCTCCAACTGCTCCTGTTTCCCGCTCCCTCCAAGCAACCACAGCAGCAGGTGAAGGTTTCACTGTGTGCACCACCCCTCCCACACGGGCTGCATGCACTGCATCCGCACTTGGGCTGCGCGTTACTCCAGTAGCAACACTTGGAGAGCCAGCCACCGCCGCTTGGTGCAGTGGCAGCTGCTCCTGCTGCTGCTGCTGCCTGTGTGCTTCTGGCTGGGGCTCCTGCCTTCCTTGCACATCCCCCCATGCAATGCCACCTCTTACATGGGTGCCTGCCTCCTCCTCGCCGTCATCATGACGCATCTCATTACCGTGCCTCCCACCATGCATAATGCTCCGCCCTGCCACCTCCCTGTGTGCATGCCCATACATTGCCCCATGGATGCCCCCATGCATGGCAGCATCCATGTGTTCCAGCAGCATGCTGCTACCCATGCCCCCACCATCACCCATGCCACTCCCCTCCCCCATGCCAGTCCCCTCCCCCATCCCCTGCCACACACCATCACTGCAGCTGAGGCTGCGGGTGGGCTGCATGCCCTGCTGCAGCACCCACTGCGACCCCTCTGCACCGCTTGCCACTCGAGGCACTGCTGCAGAGCGCTTTGGTATACTTAATGGTGACTGTACAGGGTGGTGACAGTGAGAGGGTGATTGCAGAGGGGCAGCATCTGCAGTGGTCTCGGGGCCAAGTAAAGCTTGCAGTGAATGCGGTGGAGGGGAGGTGAGAGCACGGAGAGGGGATGGCAGGGTGGAGGCAGCACGGTGATGTGTGTGGCGATGGGGTTGGGGGGCTGGGAAGGCAAGGGTGGTGGGTGCGAGAGGGCTGTCCATGGGTGGTTGGCGAGATGAGGAGGCACGAGCGTGGCTGGATGAAGGCGAGTGGGAGAGGGAGGAGGGATGAGGCACGGTAATGGAGGTTGCAGGTGCTGCTGCTGCTGCTGCTGCTGCTGCTGCTGTTGCTGCTGCTGCTTGTGTTGCGGTTACGACTGCTGATGGGGAGTGAAGTTGGGCTATTGGCGAATGTGGCTGTCCAGAATGTGCCTGTGAGGGAAGCGAACCATGCATGCTCTTGCTATGGTGTTGTTGTTGCTGCTGCTGCTGCTGCTGCTGCTGCTGCTGCTGCTGCTGCTGCTGCTGCTGCTGCTGCTGCTGCTGCTGCTGCTGCTGCTGCTGCTGCTGCTGCTGCTGCTGCTGCTGCTGCTGCTGCTGCTGCTGCTGCTGCTGCTGCTGCTGCTGCTGCTGCTGCTGCTGCTGCTGCTGCTGCTGCTGCTGCTGCTGCTGCTGCTGCTGCTGCTGCTGCTGCTGCTGCTGCTGCTGCTGCTGCTGCTGCTGCTGCTGCTGCTGCTGCTGCTGCTGCTGCTGCTGCTGCTGCTGCTGCTGCTGCTGCTGCTGCTGCTGCTGCTGCTGCTGCTGCTGCTGCTGCTGCTGCTGCTGCTGCCGCTCTTGCTGCTGCTGCAGAGCAGGTGGCGCCAGGAATCGCTGGGCTGAAGCATGGGGCTGCCAGGAAGGGTAGCTGGCGCAAAAGCTGTCACATGCATGGCAGCCACAGGGGGGGTCAGGAGGGTGGAGGAGAGAGCGAATGGGGGTGGGGGGGTGAGGAAAAAACATGACAGGATGAAAGGTGAGGGGTAAAGGATAGCACCTGAGCAGCAGCCATAGGCAAGCACCAGGATGCTGGCAATTTTGAAGAGGCGATCACCACCAACCAACTCCTGCATACCCTCCAGCCATCCCCATGAGCGGGCATCACACCCACCTGACAAATGACTGCTCCACCTTGCTCTCACTGCTGTGGGTTGCCGCCAATGTGTCATCAACCCCGCTTCCTCGCCCGCCCTCCCACACTCCTTGCCCACCCTCCACGCCAACAGCTACCTCCCCCACCGTTCCTCCACACACTCCCACCCCAAGCCGACCCTCACACCCCCCTCCTCGCATAACCCCGCTGCTTCCACCTCCGCTTTCGCCACTGCCACTCCCCAACCTGCCACTCCTGCCACTATCCCCTTTGGTATCCGCACTCCAAGCACCGCTCTTCCCACTGCTGCTGGCATGCTGCTCTCCCTGCGAGTCAAACACGCTGTGAGAGCACACGTGGCCCAGCCCCTCGTGGTACGTGGAGGTGCTTCGCAGGAAGGCGAGAATGGCGTCCGCCCTCTGTGGGATGGGTGGGGACGTGGGCGGATGGGGCACGTGAGGGCGGATGGGGCAAGGGAGGGCGGATGGGGCAAGGGAGGGCGGATGGGGCAAGGGAGGGCGGACAACAGTCAAACACACTGTGAGAGCACACGTGGCCCACAAACACACTGTCAAGGGAGGGCGGACAACAGTCGAATACGCTGGGAGAGCACACACGCGAGGTGCAGCAGTGAAACGGATGAGCAAGAGGGTAGGCGAGAGAGGAATGCAGAGGGGCGGGAGGGTAGGCGGTGGTACCTACCTGGGGCAGGATGAACCAGAGCATGAGCGGCGTGGTGAAGATGGCGAGGGGAAGAAGAGGCGCGGGGGGAGGCAGTACCTGGAGCAGGATGAACCAGAGCATGAGCGGCGTGGTGAAGATGGCGAGGGGAAGAAGAGGCGCGGGGGGAGGCAGTACCTGGGGCAGGATGAACCAGAGCATGAGCGGCGTGGTGAAGATGGCGAGGGGAAGAAGAGGCGCGGGGGGAGGCAGTACCTGGGGCAGGATGAACCAGAGCATGAGGGGCGTGGTGAAGATGGCGAGCACGTCCGCTAGGAAGAGCAGCGGCTTCAACTGCCCACAGACGTGGCATGGGGCGGGGCGGAGAGCACGTGAGGTGAGGAGAGGCGAGGAGAGGAGAGGAGAGGAGAGGAGAGGAGGACGGGGAGGGGGGGAGGACGGGGGAATGACGGGGGGAGACGGGGGGGAGGACGGGGGAAGGACAGGGGGAGACGGGGGGAGGACGGGGGAGGACGGGGGAGGACGTGGGGAGGACGGGGGAGGACGGGGGGAAGACGGGGGGAGGACGGGGGGAGGAAGGGGGGAGGAAGGGACACGCAGGTGTGGGACAGAGTCGTGAAGGCGTGATTGAGAGGTGTTGGAAGAACTAGGTAGCCCCACTTGAGGCCATGCAGCTGGTCCCCCTCTCAGCTTGACCCTGGTCCCTCACACCCACACCGCACGTGTTCGCACACCCACACACAAACACCCACACACACATACACACACACACACCCACACACACACTCCCCCCCACACACACACACCGCACCTGGTAGAGCGTCTGGAACTCGTCTCTGACTCGCTGCGTGTGCGCCTTGCTCCGCCACCTGGTGGGCAGGAAGTGCGTGTGCTGCGCTGCCCTCAGCAGCGCCCCCTTGGGATCCACACTGCCTGCCGCCCTGTCCGCCTGTGCCACCGGCCGTGCTGCTGCCAGCACCGCACCCAGTATGGCCGCGTACCACACAAGGCCGCGCCCAAAGAGCTGGAGGATGGGCGGCAGGCAACATAAGGGCAGGACACAATAGAAGGTGGCTGTTGGAGTCCATTCAAGAGAATACAAAATGGGTTGAGCAAGAGCGAGGCGTTGGTTGTTAAGAATTCTTTAGAATATTTGCACCTGTGCGTGCTCCCTGGCCTCACCTGTGCCTCCAGCAGCTTCTCATCCGCGAGAGCCAAGGCGAGCAGCAGAGCAGCCAAGGAGCCGGCAACAAAGGAGAGGAGCTTGGCGGCGAGTGAGAGCAGTGGCGAGGGGAACTGCGCCAGGTACTCGTCCGCCCGTGGGCATGCCTCGTCTAGGCGCTGCGAGGTCAGATGGTCCACCTGAGGGAGGCGTGGGATGGGCACCAGGGCACGCAGATGGGGTTTAAAGCCAGGATATCATGTACTTCAATTGTTTTGCAGTTGGTGAATAGAGCTAGGCTGTGATTGGTTGGCGAGGTACAAAAGTTGATGAGGAGTGAGGCGAGGGGTGCGAAGCAAATACAAATCGAAAGCTGTTTCCGAACCATCTAGGCACGGAAATCGGTTCAGTCCCGAAGATAAACTACCAGCAAATGTTTGTGCTTCCCAAAAGACTCACGCAACCAGAAATTTGTTTTGCAAATGAATCAGGGGCAAAACGGGGAATTTGTCGCACACTAACCTCCCAGACCTACCACTCCACTTCGCCTGCTCAAACAGGGTGACTCGAGCTTCAATTGTTTTGCAATTGAGGACAATTTCTCTTACTTCAGATCCTGGTTTTAAGGCGAGACAATGGTTCAATTATCAATACCAGAGCAAATTGAATAGGTTAGTATGTAGCAGGTTGGATATCCCGAGTTATACGAAGCGAGCGAATATGCGGCGTCTACCTCATTCTACTCTGTGACCCCCCCCCTCACCTCGTTGTACTCCTTGAACATCCAGCGCGCGAGGTTGGACCAGGAGCGCACGCCCGCAGCAGCCGGCTCATGGTACAGATGGTGGGCCTTGCGCAGCAGGAAGAAGGAGAGCACAAAGAGCAGCACGAACGGCGACAGCAGCGCCAGCAGCCACCCCGAGAGCACGAACCGCTGGCGCAGCGCTGCCGGGTCGTCCAGGAAGTGTTTCTGCAGGCGGCCATGGCGGTCCAGCAAGGGGTGCAGCACACACCAGTGCACCACCCACTCCAACGTCTTGCTCAACACCGTCACCCGCACACACCCCTCCTCCCGCCCCTCCCATCCCTCCTCCCGCTCCTCCTCTCGCCCCTCCACTCGACCACTCCCTCCCTTGCGTCGCCTCTTCTCATGCACCACGTGGAAGGACAGCAGCGGCCCCACGGCACTCAGCAGCGCAGCAGCAAGTGCAGCACCTGTGCTTCCCGATCCCCCATGTCCCCCCCCAGCAGGCACGCGCACAGTGAGCAGGCGCGAGTCCACCAGAGCAACCAGGTAGTTGTCTCGCCGTGTGATGCGCGCCGCCACCTCGTACGCTGACAGCCCCCCCACCCGTGCCCTGCCTCCGCACACCACCCCGCCTGCCCCTCTCCCTCCTACCCCTCGCACCACTACCGTTCCTGAAATCCCTCCTCCCCCTGCTGCGTCTGCCTCCAGCCATTCTGCCCCCAGACCCCGCTCTTCCCCCTGCTGCGCCTGCTCCCCCTCCTCCTCGTCCTCGCTGGACTCCTCCCCCCCTGCGCGCCCTTCCCCTCCGCCACCTGCACGCTCCCTCGCTCGCTCCCCCGCTCGTTCCCCCCTCTCCCCCGCGCCCTCGGCATTCCACGCGCGCACGAGGCGCGCCACCACGGCGGGCCAGGGCGTCATGAGCAGCTGATGGTCCGACAGGCGCAACCTGCGCGGATTGGATGGGGGGATGGCGGGGATGGGGGGATGGTGGGGATAGTGGGAATGGTCGGATGGGGGGTCAGAGGCGCAAGGAGGAAGACGGACACGGGGAGAGAGGGATGCATTGATGGGGGATCCACCACAGCAGCCCTACAACGTCACGAGCAGCTGATGCTGGCAAGCGCAGCACACAGCACAGCACGCACCTGTGGCGGTAGAGGGAGCAGCACGCACCTGTGGCGGGACAAGCGCAGGACACAGCACGCACCTGTGGCGGAAGAGGGCGCGCGTTTCCAGCAGCGCGGGGAGGCGGAGGAAGAAGTGAGCGAAGCAGAGGAGCCAGTAGAGGCACAGCAGCGCCAGGTACGCCGTTACTGTCACCTCCCACACACTCACACGCCGGAACACGTCCCTCCTTATAGCGTGCCTCAACACGTCGCACGCGCCCTCCGCCGCCCCCTCCGCTTCGTGCATCGCCGCTTCCGCTGCGCCCTCTGCTACTCTCCCCTCCACTACCCTCCCCTCTGCTAACCCCCTCCCTGCTTCCGTTCCCGCTGCTACTCTCTCCTCTGCTGCGCTCCCCTGTACAAGCCTCCTCCTCCGCTCCCCAGGGATTATCGCATCCTGCAGCGCGCCTGCTTCGACTCTCGACCCATCCCCACCGCTATATACACCTACGTATGAGCCTCTATATACAGGACTATTTACAATCGTGTCTGGTCCAACATCGCTCATTTTCCCTGCACCCCTACCCTGCATGCCTCTCTCCCCATCTCGCTCGTACGAACGTCCCTCGCGCCACTCCCTTTCGCTCCGCGTCTCCGCCAGTGTCCGCACAGCGGGACGCTCACCCGCCCCCGTTGCCGCGAATCCACCGCTGGCGGCAGCGGCGGGAGTAGCGTGGGGAGCGGCGGAGATGGCGGCGGCTGCGGCGGCGGCGGAGGCGGCGGAGCAGTTGAGCGAGAGGAGCGCGCGCCAATCAATGAGGAGCAGTAGCAGCGCGGAGAAGAGAATGGTGAAGGCCAGACTGCACAGGTGTACCACCCACTGCCACCGTTGGGGGAAGGGGGAGGGGGGACGGGATGGCGGGCCGGGAGGGGGAAGGGGGAGGGAGAAGGTTCCGGGGGAGAGAGTAAGAAACGGGAAGAGTTAACGAGCTTGGGAGTGGGAAATGGAGGATGGGAGCGGTAAGTTGACGAGCAACGGAAGCCATAGGGACGTCGACACTCACGCTGGTGACGATGCACACGAAGCCTCGCCCGCAATAGTACTCGTACACGCCTCGCATGAACCCGTCCACGTCGCCAACTCTTCGCCAATCTTCGCCCACTTCTTCTCTCGCTCTCTCCTCTGTCAGGTCCGGAGGGCCAAGCTGCACGTCAAGCTCAGCCGCACCGAACCTGCTGTTCAGGTTCGGATGTACGTCAATTTCAGCACCTCCAAGCCTGTGCTGCAGGTTTGAGGTTTGGAGACGGCTTTCTGGTGTTGATGGAGTACGGGCTTGACACTCCTGATCCAGAGTGGGTTGAAACTCTTGAAACTCGTGAAACTCGTTATAATCACGTTCGCTACGAAACCCTAATCCGGCAGGAGAACGATGACGCGGTTCCCTGGCCGACGCGCGCCTACTGTTCGATGGTTCCGGCGGATCCTCGATTTCCAACGGCACGTACGCGACGCCGCGTAGCGCCTCCTGATCGGCGTCATATGCCATGATGCTTCCGCGAAGAGGCCTAGCTTGTTGAGAAAATAGGGTCAACACGGAAGTTCGGCAGAAAACGCCACTGCACGCAAAACCTAAACCTAATCATGGATGAACAGGTTGTAACTGCGTCAACGTCGACGGAACATTCACAAAACTGACGTCCATCTCAGTATATAAAGAACGAAACTGTCGTCGACGAAGGCGTTGGACGACGCGGACAGGCGAACTCAATAGGAGCCCGATTCTTTGCATTGAAGCTGTGATGACGCGAAACGGCACGAAAAGACGACCGCCAGACCACACTCTCCAGCTCCCGCCATAACACGCTGTGGGGAAGGCGGAGCAGTCGTGGTTTGGCTGGAGAGGAGCTGAAGCAGGCAAGGCGAGAAGAACAAGAGGTGATAGGGAATGTGGTGCAACATGGCTGAAAGCGTAGGGTTGATGTCCTGACAAGCAGCTTGTAGCGCGTATTATTCGTGCTTCACCATCATGAAAGGGATAAGGAAGTTGGGAAAAAACCTGCGGTGGAGATGCAATGTTACAAGAGTGCAAGTACAACGTAGCAGCAAATAAAACTTTTTGCCAACATTAGGCTTATAAGATAAGGTATCACTGGGGATCCTTGGAGGTGGTCATTGTATAGAGGCTAGCCCCAAACATGTCATGGAATATAATACTGAAGGATTGGGCCGTAACACTTGCAGAGACAAAGCCTTGTCGCGAATGATAAAACATGGAATTGTTGTCACCGGTTACTGTGCGATTCCGGTCCACCTTTGAACCACCCCCACTTGTGACAAAGAACATACCACTGCACACACCCAGAAAATGACGGACAGAACTCCAAAGAAATGGTAAAAAAGGGCTGGAATGTGACCGGAAACTGAAAACTGCACCATAAGGGCTCGACTTCGGCCCCTGTCCCTCTCTCCCTCCCCTCCTCCCCTCCAGCAGCACATTATGGCATGACATGATGTGATGCAGCGCACCTGTTGACATCCTTGTAGAGCTCGAGGTTGTGGTCGTGGCCGTTCATGTATATGTCCACGTTGTAGCGCTGCAGATAGCGCAGCAGGCACAGGCGGGCACAGGGAAGGATAGAGAGAGTTAAGAAAGGAGCATAGGTAAGGTCAGCTGGTTTTAGGAAATTGATGAAAACTCAGGCAGTCCATGTCTGGCGAGCACGCAGGGGGGCGTGCAGAGAGAGGTGCATGAGGAGCAGAGAAAACATGAATGTTTTCCTTCAGGAGGTGGGCACGAGGGAGAAAGAGCATTGCCGGTACCCTCCTACTATCGACAGAGGCACTAAGGGAGACAAACAGAAAGTGCATTGAGCAGGAGGTAGTGAAGAGAGAGGGGAGGGGAGAGCGAGGCACCTTGAGAAGCGGGTAGAGGAACTTGATCAGCTCAGGCGTGTTGCCATGGCTGCCTGTGCTGTGGATGGGATGATGGCCAACCACCACCTTCCACGTGGCAGTTGATGATGCCAGCGCTGCACGCAGCAACTGAGGATGGACGGAGGGAGGGGCAGGTTGGAGGAGGTGAGACAGGCATGCGTGAGGCGGGGATGATTCGCCGGAGCAGGCAGGATGGATGAGCGACAAGCAGCAAGACATGGTACACGCAGTGTAGGATGACTAAGGAGAGAGTTGGAGATGGGACACGAAGAGGTGAGAAGAGGACACTAAGAGGCAGACAGCACCGTGAGCTGGTAATGCAGGGTGAGGGAGGCGGCTTTTGAGACGTCTAATGAAAATTCACCGTGAGTTGATAGTGCAGAGTGAGGGAGGCGTCTGGGAGGCCCGTGAAGTTGAGCTTCTCAAATTCATGTGCCTTGCCGTGCCAGTAGCCCGCCACCAGGGGGGACGTGTCGATAAAGAACAGCTGCAGTAGCGGGTTGCACTCGACTGGGAGGGTCCATTTGGTGGGGACGGGGAGGGACAGGAGGGGGGGAAATACGGGAAGAAAGGGAGACTGAGCTGATTACAGGGTGAGAAGAAGAGGAAGGGAAACGTGGGAGATGATGGCCTGCATGAGCAGTAAAGGACAGAAATGTGCAGGGAAGAGGTGGCGCCTGGCCCAGCCCATGGCTTCAAGCGCAAAAAAAAAACCTTGGCCAGAAACTTGGGGCAGGCAGGGCTGACTCACAGTAGCGGAACTTGGGGCAGGTGTCGCGCACGACGGTGTAGGTCTTCTCACAGCGCCACCGCGGGTCCCTCTGCCTCAGCGCCGGGTCTGTCTGCGCGTCGGGGTTGCGGTGGTAGTCGTGATTTCCCAGCACTGCCGGTGGCAGGGGCACGGGAGGAGAAAGGAAGCGGGGGAGTGGGGGTGCAAAGCGAAAGGGGGAGGGTGGGGGAGGGTGGGGGAGGGTGGGATATGAGTGCCTGACTGTTGGGGTCGGGGTTGCGGTGGTAGTCGTGGTTGCCCAGCACTGCTGGTGGCAGGGGCACGGGGAGAAACAGGGGGTGTGGGTCGCAATGACAAGGAAGGAAAGCAAGGGAGGGTGGGATGCGAGCGCCTGGCTGTCGGCGTTGCGGAGCGCCACTGTGTTCGCAGGCTGGACAACTGGTAGACCTTGGAGAAGGAGGAGGCGAAGGTGGGGTCATGCACGCCCTGCAGCCCATCTAGGGTGCGGTGGTACTCATGATTCCCCAGCACTGCCAGCAGCAGGAGAGCAGGAGTCACAAGGGGAGGGCGTACCTGCGTACCACTGCGTCTGCCCTGATTTCACTTACCTGCATACCACTGCGTCTGCAGGCTGGGCGCCTGGTGGATGTCGAAAAGGAGGAGGCGAAGGTGGGGTCATGCACGCCCATCTAGGGGTGCGGTGATAGTCAGTTGCCCACCACTGCCAGCAGCAGGAAAGCAGGAGCTAAAACGGGGGGGCGTACCTGCGTACCACTGGGTCTGCAGGCTGGGCGCCTGGTAGATCTCGGAGAAGGAAGAGGCGAAGGTGGGGTCATTGATGTCCTGCATCCCGTCATCATAGAAGTTGTCCCCCGTCGACACCACGAAGCTGCTGTCAATGGCCGCTGCCACCTCGCCCATCTGATGTGCAGGGAAAGAACAGGAAGATGCAAGGTACAATCATTGATGTCCTGCATCCCTTCATCATACAAGTTGTCCCCCGTGGACACCACAAAGCTGCTGTCAATAGCCGCTGCCACCTCGCCCATCTGAGAGGCACGGGGGGGGGAACCGCAAGACACAAGTCACAATGAGCGACGTCCTGCAACCCATCATCGTAGAAGCTGTCCCCCACGTGGACACCACGAAGCTGCTATCCATGACCGCTGCCACCTCACCCATCTGATGCATGGGAGGAGAGGAGAAGAGCAAGATGCAAGTCACGATCAGCTGTGTCCCTTTCGAGGCGTCTCAGAATTTACCTCGTCCATGTGGGTTACGAGGAGAGAACGGAAGTCACAAGTCGCAATGAGCCATGTCCTGCAGTTCTCACATACGTGACTATGGACTTGCTGGGTGTAGAAACATACCGATTCCGCGACGATGGACTGGTTGTAGTCGCCGTTGCGACCCCAGTCTCCCACGACCAGGAACGACAGTTGCGACTGAGCGTCCGCGAGCGCGTCAGGGGGAGCGTTGGCGGAGATGAAGCGGAGCGAGGTGGCGGGGAAGAGCAGCGAGAGCAGCGCGCTGATGCCGAGGCCCACCCCGCAGCCCAGCAGCAGCAGCGCCGTTGCCGCCACGTACGAGCAGAGCGGCCCGCGCTGATCAGTCGGCTGGGGAAGAGAGCGTGACGAAAGAAAACGTTCGTTGATACTTGCGTACGAGCGAATGAAGAATGTTAGGAGGGTCGAGACATAAGCAACGCAAAGATGGAAGCATCGACGTATTAGTGCGCTGACTCACCTGAGCGGATGCGCGACTCACCTGAGCGGATGCGCGACTCACCTGAGCGAATGCGCGACTCACCTGACCGGATCGCAGCCCTAGCGTCTCGTCCTCCCCATCGATCTCATCTGAAAGAGAATCAATCGGGACGGGAATGAATGGCTGGATTGAACTCGACCGGACATGGGTCACCACGTGTCGAAGATGCAGAAGTAAGGCAGATCGCTACAAGGGTGAGATGACTTCGTGGCTACACTGTTGCGATCGCGAACGTGATACCAACGGCCACGATGGTCTTGATTGCTCCTGTGCAACGCTTCAGTGTGCCTTATCCGACGCGTGAACCGTCAAGCAATGAGACCACAACCGACTATCACGGAAAAACTGGATTCACCAGCTTAGGATTAGTACCAACCGACCTAATATGACTGCAAGAAACCTACGTACCTCGAGTGGGTGGCATCCTGACGAGACTCAAGCGCGGCAGGCCGACGCTGCTGGCAACTACGTGGAGGCGGACAAACGACGAGCAACTGAAGATGTTCCCAAGAAACAGCACACCAGCAAAAACGGGATTCTCAAGAATTGCTGGGAAGTTGGGAGGAATTCAAGAAAGCGTGGTGTGATTGGATGCAACAGGGAAAAAAACAATCCAATCCCGAGGAAAGCTAGCACGGAGCGAAATGACTGGGCAGAAAAAATCAACCACGACGGGGATCGAACCCGCGACCTTTGGATCCGAAGTCCAACGCGCTAATCCACTGCGCTACCCGGCTACGAGATGAGGGAAAGTGTCTAATTCACTGAAAATGTAACTGCATTTTCACTTCGGGACTACATTTCCCGTCCCTCATCTCATGCCCCTTGTCCGTAGAAGCCATGTATCTCTATAATCTTACGCTCCAGCGGGCGACGGGCATAAGTCACGTCATATTCGGCAACTTCTCAGGGACGAAGGAGCAGGAAATAGTGGTCGCGAGAGGGAAGATTCTCGAGCTATTACGGCCAGATGCCGCGGGAAAACTGCAGAGCCTGTACGCGGTAGAAGTATTTGGCGAGATTCGCTCGCTCGTCCAATTCCGGCTCACCGGCTCCTCTAAGGACCTCATTGTCGTGGGATCAGATTCTGGCCGAATCGTTATATTGGAGTACAACCGAGAGAAGAATCTCTTCGATAAGATACACCAGGAGACCTATGGCAAGTCGGGATGTCGCCGGATCGTCCCTGGTCAATTCCTGGCCGTGGATCCGAAAGGACGAGCGGTCATGATCGCAGCCTGCGAGAAGCAGAAGTTCGTGTACGTTTTGAACCGCGACAGCTCGGCGCGCCTCACGATCTCATCCCCGTTAGAAGCGCACAAATCGCAAACCCTAGTCTTCTCCGTCGTGGGCGTGGACTGCGGATTTGACAACCCCATTTTCGCCGCCATAGAGCTCGATTACGCCGATGCAGATCAGGACCCGTCAGGCCAAGCAGCAGCCGACGCGCAGAAGCAGCTGACCTTCTACGAGCTTGATCTGGGCCTGAACCACGTCGTGCGGAAATGGGCCGAGCCGGTCGACAACGGCGCGAATCTCCTCGTTGCGGTCCCGGGCGGCGCGGACGGGCCGTCTGGCGTGCTGGTGTGCGCCGAGAATTTCGTGATCTACAAGAACCAGGGCCACCCGGACGTGCGCGCCGTCATTCCGCGCCGCGCCGACCTCCCCGCGGAGCGCGGCGTGCTGATCGTCGCGGCCGCGACGCACAAGCAGAAATCGATGTACTTCTTCCTCCTCCAGTCCGAATACGGCGACGTGTTTAGGGTTACCCTAGAGCACGACCCAAAGGACACGGACCGCGTGACGGAGCTGAAGATTAAGTACTTCGACACGATCCCGGTGGGCGCGGGGCTGTGCGTGCTGCGCGCGGGGTTCCTGTTCGCGGCGTCGGAGTTCGGCAACCACGCGCTGTACCGGTTCCAGGGCATCGGGGATGACGAGGAGGTGGAGTCGAGCTCCGCCACGCTCATGGAAACCGATGAAGGATTTCAGCCCGTCTTCTTCCACCCTCGCCGCCTCAAGAATCTCGTGCAGGTCAGTTTTTGAGGCGACTCAAAAGTCACCGCGAGGCACAGCGAGATCCGAGGGGGGGAGGGGGGGGGAGGAGGGGTTTGAGTCGACTGAGAAGTCACCCGGTTTCAGGGCATCGGGGATTACGAGGAGGTGGAGTCGAGCTCCACCACGCTCATGGAGACCGACGAGGGCTTCCAGCCCGTCTTCTTCCTCCAGCGCCGCCTCAAGAATCTCGTGCAGGTCAGCGCGACTTCCCTGGTTCACTTTTGCTCTGTTTAAGTGTTTTTTTCATCTTTTTTTTAAGCAAGTTGAGGGGCAGGGTGTGGGCGATTGGGTTGAAGGAGGAGAGCCAGAGGTGCATTGTGTTTCACTTGGGCATGCAAACGGTCTTCACCCCTCAGCAAGCCCCCGCATTCTCCCTCCTTCTGCTCCCCCTCCTGCTATCCCTCCCGCTCTCCTCGGCATTCCTCCCATTCTCCATCCTGACTCTCTCCCTTCTCCCCGCTCTCCCTCTCCCCTTCACTCATTCCAGATCGACGAGGTCGAGTCACTGATGCCTCTCCTCGACCTCAAGGTCTCAAACCTTTTCGACGAGGAAACCCCGCAGGTCTTCGCGCTCTGCGGCCGTGGCCCGCGCTCCTCCCTGCGCATCCTCCGCCCGGGGCTCGCAGTCACCGAGATGGCGGTAACGCAGTTACCAGGCGTGCCGAGTGCGGTGTGGACGGTGCGCAAGAGCGCGCAGGACGAGTTTGACGCGTACATCGTGGTGTCATTCGTCAATGCGACCCTCGTGCTCAGCATTGGTGATACGGTCGAGGAAGTTAGTGACAGCGGGTTCCTGGACACCACGCCCTCACTCGCCGTTTCCCTGCTGGGGGAGGACTCGCTTATGCAGGTCAGTGCGGTGGCTGGGGGGCAGTGTGGGTTGTTTTGCTTCTGATGCGCCTCAAAAGTAAGCCCATGTCCGTCTCTCCTGCCTGCACCATCCCATCCCATCCCAATCCCAGGTGCATCGGAGTGGCATTCGGCACATCAGGGCGGACGGGCGTATCAACGAGTGGAAGACGCCTCTTGAGGCACCGTCAACAGGCCTGTGTGAATGCGCCCATGTTCATCTATGTTGCCTGCACCATCCCATCCCACGTGCAGGTGCACCCAAGCGGCATTAGGCACATCAGGGCGGACGGGCGTATCAACGAGTGGAAGACGCCCGGCAAGAAGAGCATCGTTAAAGTCGGCTGCAACCGCTTCCAGGTCAGTCCATCTCAGTTCAAATCGTCTTCTGGTGAATTGCCTTTTGCCGCGTCCGCTTGGGGGTGACAAGAGGTGTCAACCGCTGTTTATTCTGACCATTGCTCATTCCTGCGCTCTCCGTCTTCTCACCCCACCCTCCGCAGGTGGTGATCGCCCTGTCAGGAGGCGAGTTGGTGCATTTCGAGATGGACGTGAGGGGGCAGATGGTGGAGATGGGCAAGAAGGACATGCCGGGGGACGTCGCCTGCCTCGACGTCGCCCCCATCCCCGAGGGCCGCCAGCGAGCGCGCTTCCTAGCCGTCGGATCGTACGACTCCACCGTTCGGATCCTCTCTCTGGACCCCGATGAGAACATGCAGGTGAGAAGGGGGGAGGAGAGCTTTGGGTGCAGGGTTTAGGGTGTTGGGTTGGGGGGTTATGGGGGTAAGGCATTGCTGCAGGCATTACTGCCATTATTGTGGCCAGGCAGGGCCCTCATGTGCTGGCTGTTGAGGCGCGTGACTCAACTGTCAGCATTCAGATTGCTCTTCGCTCACTCTCCCTCTGCCCATCTCCCTCCCCCCATGCATCTACCAGGTGCTAAGTGTGCAGGCGGTATCCGCCCCACCAGAGTCCCTGCTCTTCCTCGACGTCCCCACCGGCCCCGGCACAGACGGCCCCTCCTCCACCGCAGCCTCCTCCTCCTCCTCTGCTGCCGCCCACGTGCCGTCCAGCCTCTTTCTCAATGCCGGCCTGCAGAACGGTGTGTTGCTCCGCACCGAGGTGGATAAGAACTCCGGGCAGCTTTCCGATTCGCGCACGCGCTTCCTCGGGCTGCGCGCGCCGAAACTTTTCGGTGCCCAGCTGAGAGAGCGGCGCGCCATGCTGTGCCTTTCCAGCCGCCCGTGGCTCGGGTACTCCCTTCTGGGAAGCTTCCATTTGACGCCTCTGTCCTATGAGGCTTTAGAGTATGCGGCTCCGTTTGCGTCAGATCAGTGCCCAGAGGGTATTGTGGCGGTGGCAGGGGAAACGCTGCGTGTGTTCACGGTGGAAAGGCTTGGAGAGGTTTTTAACCAGACGGTGATTCCGTTGCGGTACACCCCGCGTAAGGCAGTGCTGCATCCGCGTTATAAGAACATTGTGACGATAGAGAGCGACCAGGGCGCGTTCTCGGCGGAAGAGAGGGAGGAACTGAGGAAGGAAGCGATTGAAGTGACGGGTGCTGCGGAGCGGATGGAGGAGGAGAGACGGGAGAGGAAGGAGGCGGCAAGAGCAGCGAGGGGAGGCAGAGGGGAAGACGGGGAGGAGGGGATGGAGGAGGATGAGGAAGAGGAGGAAGAGGAGGAGGACGAGAAAGCCAAAGACCCGCTACCGGACGAGCAATTCGGGTACCCGAAAACAGTCCCGTCGAAATGGGCATCATGCATCCGGGTGATAAACCCCAAGGCAGGCGAGACAACGTGCCTGATGGAACTCACAGACAGCGAGGCCGCCTTCTCGCTCTGCACGGTCAACTTCCACGCGGATAAAACAGAGGGCGGGGCGGCCGCAGGGCAGTACCTGGTAGTCGGCACAGCGAAATCCCTGCAGTTCTGGCCCAAGAGGAACCTTCTGGGAGGGTTCCTGCATGTGTATAAGTTCAAGGGAGAGGACGGGAGGGAGCTAGAGTTGGTGCATAAGACGGCGGTGGAAGGGGGGGTGCCGACTGCCCTGTGTGCGTTCCATGGGCGGCTGTTGGTGGGGGTGGGGAATGTGCTGAGGATATATGACCTGGGGAAGAAGAAGCTTCTGAGGAAGTGCGAGAACAAGCAGTTCCCGCATGCGATCGTGAGCATCCATGCGTGCGGCGATCGCATCTACGTGGGCGACGTGCAGGAGGTGCGTTGATATGCAGGGAGGTGGGGGAGTGGATGGGGGAGGTGTGTGGGTGCAGGGGGGATGTTGGTGGAGGGGTGAGGTGGGTGGAGGGCAGAGGGCCACGAGGTGATTAATTAGTATCCTTTAACCAGGAAATGTGCAAAAATGACATGGGTGAGTAAAATGTTTTTTCTTTCTCATCCTCACTCTCTCGCCCCCTTTTCCGCCCCAACCCTCCCTCAATCCCCCAGTCATTCCACTACGTGCAGCACAGCCGGCAGGAGAATCAGCTGTACGTGTTCGCAGACGACGTCACCCCGCGCTGGCTGACCTCCGCCCTGCGAATCGACTTTGACACGATGGCAGGCGGGGACAAGTTTGGCAACGTGTGCCTTGTGCGCCTGCCGGGGGAGATCTCCGAGGAGATTGAGGAGGATCAGACTGGCGGGCGTGTCAAGTGGGACGCCGTGGGAGGGGGGCGCCTCAACGGAGCGCCGAACAAGCTTGAGCAGGTGTGTGTCGGGCGTCCTCTCGGCCGGTGCCTCCCTGCCTTGCTGCATTCCGTGATGCTCTGCTTACCTGATACACTCTGTCGTGTAATGCTGCTGCTGCTGCTGCCGTGACGCGTGTCTTACCTCACCCTCCGCACACACCTTCCCTCCTTCCAACCCCCGCGCGACACCCCAATGTTCTGGCCATGACCCACCAGGTGATTCAGTTCCATGTGGGGGACATCGTCACAGCCATGCAGAAGACGTCCCTCATTCCAGGTGAGCGCTTCTCCGCCTGGCTTCAACTTCGTGTCAAGTTGTGCCTCACCTTCTGCTTCCCTTTGTTACCTGGCTCCTGCTTCCCTTTGTTACCTGGCTCCTGCTTCCTGTACCACCATCATCTAATTCCCTGGTACCATCCTGTGTATCGCCCCTTTTGTCCCATCCTGCTTTTCCCATGCCTTCCCTCTCGCCTTCCCCCCCTTCCTCTCTTCCTCCCCAGGCGGCAGCGAGTGCGTCATATACAGCACGATGCTGGGGGGGGTGGGGGCGCTGCTGCCCTTTGTGTCGCGGGAGGACGTGGATTTCTTCTCACACCTCGAGATGCACCTGCGCCAGGAGCACCCTCCCCTCGCCGGCCGAGAGCACGTCGCTTACAGATCCGCCTATTTCCCTGTCAAGGTCAGCCCTGCTTCTCTGCTGCATTGCCAATTCGCCTTTGTTCTACCATGTGACCTGATCATTGGGATTTGCCCAAGTGAAAGAAGTGGCTCATGTTTGCCCGTTCTGCTATTATGTTTTGTGTTCTGCCTTCCTCCCAGGATGTGATTGATGGGGACTTGTGCGAGCAATTTCCGTCGCTTTCGCTGGAGCTGCAAAAGAAGATTGCGGAAGAGCTTGATCGCACGCCAGGAGAGATTCTCAAGAAGCTAGAGGACATAAGAAACAAGATTCTGTAAACTGGCTGCTTAATTTCCTCTCTAGCCAGGTTTACCTGCCTTGTGGAATGAAAATGCTTTCTTTGTCAGAAGTTTACAACCAGAAGCTTTATTAACATGTGTACACTGAAACGCGTAATAGAACCTTTTATGAGGGTGCCGTCCCTCTTACACGTGTCGGTCGTGTTGCTCTTCATGCCAACGGTTGTCGGTCGTGTTGCTCTTCATGCCAACGGTCACGCGCGTCAACGCAGTGATTGGTTCTGCATTTCCTGGTCCGCTTCCCGAGAAGGTGCAACGCGATTATGCGGTTCTGTGCGGTACAGCTTTCCTCATCTTCAAATCAAAGCCTCAAGTTCTGCCTGAATTCAGCAACTGTCTGAAACCTTAGTTAGCGTCTTCCTGTGTAGAGATCCCACATTGACGTCTTATTAGTAAATTTTTGCGATTAGGGTTTCTTCGTGGACTCCCGCTCGCCATGGATGTGGATTTGCCTCCTCCGGACAGCGCAAGTCGGAGCGAAGTCGGAATAACGATCAAGACTCTCGATAACCGGACTTACGATGTCCGCGTGGATCTCGGGGTGCGTGCTAGCGTAGGGAGTTAGTGACGGCGCGTGCTAGTGTAGGGTGTTAGTCGCGGTGCGTGCTAGTGTAGGATGATCGCTCTCTGTGGGTCCCAAGAGCAGCTGTAGAGATTGTTCTTTTGAATTTCGGATTCGCACTTGTCAGATCGACGCGAGTCACGGCCTAGGATGTTGGACGGTGGCAAACCTCTAGTCCGACGTAGACCGGTTATCAGACGTCGTTAAATTGTCATCTTTTATTATCGAGACGTGTCTGTAGAGTTCAGATTTGGTCAACAAGAGTTAAACTTCATCAACTCCTGCACTGCAGTAACTTGGTCGACTCCTTTCAGCTAGTACCGTTGCTGACATCTTCAAATTTTCTTCTCGTGTCTGCTGGTCGTGCATCCTCCCCAACCTCGCGTTTCTCTGTCCTCGATTAGCGCCGTGTATGTCTATTTTTTATGCCTAACCGTTGCGTTGTTATTCCAGTCGTTTCTCCCCGTCTCTTGACCCCTCCTCTCTCTCTCACACACCTCCCCTCTCTTTCTCGTCTCGCCTTTCTCTCTCGCCTCGCCTCTCCCCACCTCTCTCTCTCCTCCATCGCCTCGCCTCTCGCCCTCCACTCCCCCCGCAGCTGCTCGTGAGCGCGTTGAAGGAAAAGATATCCACGCAGGTGCAGGTTCCAGCTGGCAGCCAGCGATTGGTCTTCCGAGGGAAGGTTCTCAAGGACGATCAGACCCTCGCATCCTACGGTTCGTATTACCCCCCTTCACCTCTCCTCTCGTCTTACCACCCTTCACCTCTCCTTCTCTCATCTTCCCCCGTCACCCCGGATTTCCTCGTCGTACCCCCGTTCACCCCGGATTTTTCGCGCCTTACCCCCCTTCACTCCCGATTCTCTCGTTCTAACCCCCTTCACCCCGAATTCTTGTAGCATGCCTTTCCCAAGATCTTTCTTTGTTGCTTCGCTCTTGTGCTCGCTGCTGGCTGGAAAGGCTGTTCTCTTGTGCCTAGGCTACGCATGGCACACATCTAGATGACCACCCCCCTCCTGCGCCTCGTTCCTCTTGTTCCGCTTGTACCTACTCTCCTCCCCTCCCCTTCCGCCGTTCCCCCGCTTTTCCTTCCCCAGGCATCAGTGCGGGCCACGTGGTGCACCTGGTCTCGCGACTCACGGGGGACTCCTCCCCTTCTTCCGCGCATGGCGCGCGCGCGGGCGCGGAGGGGGAGGAAATCCGCGGAAGGGCAAGGCTGTTGCGCGGGGGACAGGGGAGGGGCGGCGCAGGGGGAGAGAGGGGCAGCGGCGGCGGTATGGGTATGGGGGGGATACGGATCGTTCCAGGGGGAGGGTTTGGGGGAGGGCTGGGGGGAGGGTTGGGTCACGTGCAGATTGGCGGCCTGCCTGCCTCTGGAACCGTTCATCTGGGCACGTTTAACCTCCCATCGGACGGCTCTCAGGGCCTTCCGGACCTAAACCAGGTCTGTGTGGGTGCATGGGTGCATGGGTGCATGGGTGCATGGGTGCATGGGTGCATGGGTGGGTGGGTGGGCGGGCGGGCGGGCGGGCGGGTGGGTGGGTGGGGTGCACTGAGAGGGCTGTCAGCTTTAGAGCAAGGACGCGTTACACTCCCGTGACTGCTTCCTCATCATCCCTACCCCTACTCTCCTTCCGATCTCCCTCCCTCATCCCCCCTTTCCGGTCAATTCCTCCTTTCCCTTTCCCGCTCCCCTCCCCTTCCCGCTCGCTTTTATCATCCCATCCCCCTCTTCGGTTTCCTCCCATCCCGCCCCTCCCTTTCCTCTCTCAACCGGTGTCTATCTCACTCGTCTCACCCCAGCACTCCCCCCTCCCTTTTCCCTCACCCCGCTCTCCCTCCTGTGCCCATCAGATCGTGTCCGGTGTGCTTTCATCCATTGGCCTTGGAGCTTTGGGGCTGGGGGTGGGGGGCATGGGGGAAGGCATGGGCGGAGGCATGGGGGGCGGCATGGGTGGAGGTATGGGGGGAGGGGGAGCAGGGGGTGGGCGAGTGGGGGGGGGTGGAAGCGAGTCAGCAGGTCCCACTGCGAATGTCACGATTGACATCGCCCCCATCTCGGTATGCCGTGTTTCATTTCATGTCTCCATGCCAACACGCATTCTCCAAGTAGCATCTCATTGAAACCGTGTTTAACCGACGGATGAGCTCAGCTCAAGTCTGCCTCTCCTTGGCGCTCCCACTTCCACACCTGTCTGTTGCTCATTCACCTTGCGTTGCGCTGCCATGTGCCATTTGCCATGCGCCCCGCCAGATGCGAGCCGCTCAGGCCCTTAGACGCTCCTCCCCTGCGGCAGACGGTAATGCTGCCCGCGACGCTCACACCACCGATGCTGCTGCTGCTGCTGCGGCTGCTGCTGCTGCGGATGGACGTGCAGGCAGGGATGGGGGAGGAAGGGCGGAACAAGAGCAAGCAGGGGAGCAGAGAGCAGGGACGGAGCGAGGCGGTAGTGACGCTGGGGAACGGAGGGAGGGAGCAGAAGGGGCAGAGGGTGGAGGGGGCGGGGTGCCAGAGGTGCAGATTCACATGGACACGTGGCTGCCTGTGAGTGGCTTTGACATGCCCGTGGGCATGGGAGGGCCAGGCATGGGTATGGGAGGAGCGGGCATGGGAGGCATGCGAACAGGCATGGGAGCAGGCATGGGAGCAGGCATGGGAGCAGGCATGGGAGCGGGCATGGGAGCAGGCATGCGAGCAGGCATGGGAATGCCATCAGTAATGGGCATGGCAGCACCAGCAGGCATGGCTGTGCCGGTGGGCATTCCCCTCGGCGGCTTTCCCATCCCCATGGGCGGCAGCATGGGTGTTGCCGGCCTGCCTCTCATGATGGCTCTTGGCGGCATGGGACCAGGGGGGGTGGGCGGGGTAGGGCACCATGGGGAGGAGCAGGAGGAGCGGGGTGCACGGCAGCAGCAGCAGCAGCAGCAGCAGCAGCAAGGGACGAGGCATGTGGCGCGAAGGGACGCTCTTTCAACTGTGGACGATTATCTTTCACGTGTGGAGGGTCAGCTGAGGCCGTCAGGTGAGAACAGCACATGGCTGCCTGCCTGCCAGGTAGATTTCGGACATTGCTCATTAGCACACTTAATGGGTTGCCTGGAGGCCTAAGCACTGGCAATGCTCTGCACTTGAGGTTGCGCGCTTGGTTGTCATGTCAGGGGCGTAAGAAGTGTTTCAAGGAATCAAGCCGCGCTGTTCTGCAATTTTTGCAACTATGTTTTTTCTCCTCCCCTGCCTCCGTGCTCCCAGTGGACCCAGCAGAAGCGGCAGCAGCAGCGACAGCAAGAAGGGAGCTACCATCGCTGCAGCGCCTGGCGGCTACCCTCAGGCGCTCCAACAGCCTCCTCACCGGCCCCCTCTCCTCCTCCCTGCTCGTCAGTTCCTGCGCTTTCCTCGCCCCCTCTTGGTTCCCGGTTTTATTGCTTCTGCCTAATGCAACCGTGATCGTGAATTCAGTACTAGTTCATTTGGCCAGTCAGGCCTCTAATCTGCCATGCCTGCTCCATGCTTCAACTCAACCACTGTCTGCCAGAGTGCTAGGGCGCCAGCGATACAGTACTCGTGGTTCTTTCCCCCCACCCTCCCCCGTCCCTCCCATGACCTGTGCTGCTTGGGCAGAACCTTGCAGAGCAGCTGGAGCACTTGCCGCCTGTGGGCGCAGCTGCTGTGACTGACTCAGGAACAACAGCCACAGCGGCAGGAGGAGCAGCAGCAGGGACACGAGCAGGAGCAGGAGGAGAAGCAGGAGAACCAGCAGCAGCAGTGGCAGCAGCAGCAGAGGCGGCGATGAGAGAGGCAGTGGAAGGAACAGTGCGGTGTGTGACCCTCATGGCTCCCTTGCTGCTCGAACTCTCGCACCTCTGCCGCGCCCTGCACTGGCCTGGCCCTGCTGGCGGTGCTGGCGTTACTGCTGCTGCTGCTGGTGGGAGCAGTGGGCAGCAGCAGCACGGCCCGCGCCTGTCCCCGGTGCCGCCGGTCTTCATCACTGCCCGAGGGCCCACAGCTCTCTTCACCCATGTGCGTCCTCTTCATACGGGTCCTGGGTTCTGGGTTTGGGGCTTTTCGTTCTAGGTTCAAGGTTCTAGATTCGGGGTTTAATGGGGGGAGGGGAGGGTTTTGTTAGTTCTGGGTGGAAAAAGGTTCTTGATGCTTCGGCTTCTTGACAATCTGTGCATCGCATTCCGCCCCAACTCGTCCCTCGCCTGCAATTTCACTTGGCTCTATCACCATCCACCCGCTCTCACCTTGCTTCCTTTCCTTTCTCTGTGACTGTCACCCTCTCTTCCCGCTGTGACTCCCTGCTCCCAGCAACTGCCGTTGCTGCAGCAGATGCACCTGCAGGCACAGGCACCAAGTGTGGCTGGCAGAGAGGGGGCGAGAGGTGGGGGAGCAGAACGAGGGCGCGGAGGTGGGGGAGGTGTGGGGGGAAGCATCAGATTCCCTCTGTTTGGAGGCCAGCAGCAATCTGCAGCCGCAGCAGGACGCTCCGCAGCAGTAGCAAGCTCAGAAGCCGCAGCAACAGGTGCACCAGCACCCGCAGGCACAGGAGCAGCAGCAGCAGCAGCAGCAGCAGCGCCATCTGCTCCTGTTGCCAGCTTCTCTCTTCCAGGGGGGGTGCACGTGGGTCTCTTTGGCGTCCCTTCTTTCGCCCCGCACCAGCCTCGTTCCGCGCCCTCTCGCCCTGCTGCCCATGCCCGCCCTCCAACTGACAGCGCCACCAATGCTGCCAACCCCCCTGCTGCTGCTGCTGCTGCTATTGAGCAGCAGCAGGGGCAGCAGCAGCAAGGGCAGCAGCAGCAGGGGCAGGGCCAGGGGCAGGCGGGGTCACTGGTGGAGCAGGTGAGGGCAGCAGCGCGGCTGTTCCACATGCAGCAGGTTCTGGCTGAATACAACTCCCACATGCAGGGACGGGGACAGAGGGCGCAGGGGCACCAGGGGCAGGAGGTGCAGCAGCGGTGGGCAGAAGACGATTCTGAGATGCAGGAGAGGCGAGAGCAGCCCGAGGGGCAGGGTGCAGGGAGGGAGGAGAGAGGGCAGCAGGAAGCGCAGGCACAGGAGAGGCAAGAGCAATCGCCACAACAGGAGGAGCAGCAAGAGCAATCGCGACAACAGCAGCAGCAACAACGGCAGCAGCAGCAGCAACAACGGCAGCAGCAGCAGCAGCAGCAGCAGCAGCAGGCATGGTTTGCCGGGCAACAACCGCTGCTACAGTTTCCTGCGATTGTAGCGCTGATGGGCGGTTCTGGCCCCTTCCCCACCATAGTCATGCGCCCTCAGCTGCTGCCAGGGCCGGGCGCAGGGGGGGAGGTGCAGGCGCAGGGGGGAAGCATAGGGAGGGGGATGGGCACACAAGCAGGGGGGGCGGGTGCACAAGCAGGGGGGGCGGGTGCACAGGCAGGGGGGGCGGGTGCACAGGCAGGGGGGGCGGGTGCACAGGCAGGGGGGGCGGGTGCACAGGCAGGGGGGGCGGGTGCACAGGCAGGGGGGGCGGGTGCACAGGCAGGGGGGGCGGGTGCACAGGCAGGGGGGGCGGGTGCACAGGCAGGGGGGGCGGGTGCACAGGCAGGGGGGGCGGGTGCACAGGCAGGGGGGGCGGGTGCACAGGCAGGGGGGGCGGGTGCACAGGCAGGGGGGATGAGCGCACAGGCAGGGGGGATAGGCGCACAGGCCGGGGGGTTGGGGGTGCAAGCAGGGGGGCTTGAGGCGCTGCTGGGAGGGCTAGGAGGCTTGAGTGGCTTGCTGGCAGGCTTAGGGGGAATAGCAGGCGAGGGGGGCGGGGAAAGGTCAGTAAATGCTGGGGGCCAGAGAGGGGTGGTGGGGGGAAATGGAGAGGACAGAGACGTGCAGTGGCAGGAACAAGAGCAGCAGCAGCAGCCGCCACCAAACCCCACCCAGCAGCAGCAGTCACAGCAGGAGCAACAGCAGTCTCAGCCTCAGCAGCAGCAGCAGCAGCAGCAACAGTCACAACCGCAGCAGCAGCGGTCGCAGCAGCAGTCGCAGCAGCAGTCACAGCAGCAGCAGCGCGTGCTAAGGAGTGTGCTGGGGCAGGGCCTTGGCGCTCTGAGACGAGTGCTGGGAGGGGCAGCTCGAGAGGGAGCAGGGCGGGTGGTGGGAGGAGGAGGCGGGGCAGCAAGCAGGAGTGTAGGTGGGGTGGAGGGGTGTCGGCCGGGTGGAGCAGTGAGGTCCAGTCAAGGGGGAGGCACGTCTGTGAAGGAGAGAGGCAAGGCTCTTTCAGCTGCTGTTGCTGCTGGAAAGCTGAGTTCGGTGAGTCTCTGCAGGGAAATAAACGGTGCAGAGTACAGGTGTGGAGAGGGGTTTAGAGGTGATCTCTGGAGCATGGCACAAGTGAGAAGTGGAGTATGGGCATTGTTCAGGTGTGCCTAGGGTTGCATGATTGCGGCTTCCATGGCAGCTGCGCCATCGCTGGTTTATCTGTGTTGGTGATGCCTGCAACGCTGATTTCCTTCATAATGCTGGTTCATCTGTGTTGTATGTTCCTTCTGTCCACATGCCTTCATGTGGAATGGCATGGCTTGGCATGGGATGGCATGGCATTGATGGCACATGTGTTGATCTACTGGCAGGAGGAAGCAAAGGAGTGGGAGAGGGTGATGAAGGCGGATGACGTGGCACAGTGCCACATGGCGCCGCAAGAGGGGCTGTCGGAAGCATATCTGAGCGGGAGGTCAAGGAGGACAGGCAGAGAGGTAGGCGGGGTAGGAAGCATGAAGCCAGGGGGCCGTTTCATAGTGGACTCTCAGGGTGTGTGTTGCAGAGTAATGCTGGTGGGTGTGACACATGGTTATGTCATGCTGAGTACTGTTTTGTTTCATTGTTTCCTGCTATCATTCCATGCTACCATTTCATGCTTTTGTTTCACGCATTTCCTGCATGTACGGTATCTGTGTTGCACTGCATCGCCCGATTTGTCGCCAAACAGCCCCAGCAACACTTGGACTCGCCGCAACCGAACGTTGCAAACAACAACGAAACATCTGAAAGGCATGGAATCCCTGCTTCTTGCGAAAAGCAGATTGCACGGGACGATGGTACTCCTCCAGCCAGCTCTTCGAGAGCAACTCATTCTGCTCAAGTGCCTTCGCGCCGTCGGTTGCGGGAGGAGAACGGCTCTCAGGATGAGGAAGATGGTGTCAATGGTAGGTTTAGGGGCTCCAAGCACCACAAGAGCATGGAAAGTGCATGATGGTGAACATGTTCCAGGGGCTGTTTTTTGTTTTAAAAAATCCACTTCCATCGTTTGTCCGTTTTTTTTTTTTTCTAGTTCTTCCCCTAGTGCTTTTGGAAATTGGATAGGGTAGTCTAGTTTTTTGCAAGAGCGTCATTTGTTTGATCTCTGATGCCGACGTTGAAACACCCTTCAAAGAGTACAATCCTAATGCACTGAGAAGTCCCACGGCTGAGTCCGCCTGGACTGGACACTTGACGTCCTTTCTGCAGCAAATCTCAAGGCAATGCTCATCTGTTCATGCCACGTGGGCGAGGTCCTACTGTAGCGTCCTTTTCAAATGGGGCACTCGTGAACTGTACTTTCAGCCGTTGGGAACAATTTTTGGCAGAAAGCTGTAACACTTTTTTTTCGGCAGCTACATTAGGATGCATTTTTGTCTGAATTGCTTAATGACGTTATTATCTATGTTGTCCTTGTTTTCTAGACTTGAGTTGGGTTGCCCGTTGCCTGGTTAAAAATCCAATCTGTACTGTTGGGCTGTAAACAACAAGCGCCACGCCAGCTCAGTGACTCAGTCCGAACAGACTCACGCTGTCAACTGTGAAAAGTGTTCGTTCGACCACCCCAACCCAAACCTTGACGCCAAGTCACACACGTTGGGCAGATCCTTTGACAGCCTGGCTGCCCATGGCCTGAGCCTAGATGGAATGTGTGGAAGGTGTGGGGCGGAGTGGGATTTTGTATTGTAGTGAAGGACTGTACAGCATCCGCCCATCGAATTTCAGTTTTCACTACAGTGCACTTCAAGATTTCTGGCGCATTTTGCACTCGGTTTGGCTTGTAACGGATGTATTTTGCATTGGATTGATGGCTATAGATTAACTGTATTTATTCTGGTACACCGTCCATTCTGCCGTAAATCAATAACCCACGCACGCACCAACAGACAAACTGTTCAGTGGAATTGATGGCGGCGGGGAGAGGGGTGAGTGGGGCGGACAACTGAACCAAGATTCTCTACCAACGCCTGCCAAGCCAAGCCATGAGAGTGTTGCTAGCTGCTCACTCGCTCTCCACTCCCCTCACATGTGGCGGCTACACACAAATACAGTAATCTCTGACACTGCCTCCATCTCTTATACGTCTGGCCTCTGGCTCACATCGCATCGCCACGCCACCATACCAGACAGAACTTGGCCAGCATGGCGTCCTTCATCTTGTTCTCGGTTTCCACGCTCCAAATGAGCTCCTTGACCTCGAGAGATACCCGCCGTGTTTTGTATGAAAGGGCTTGCGCGCTACGCCATCCGGCGAGAACATTGAAATTTCTGAGCCACCTTGATCGCTCGTTCGTCACCTGAGCACGTCCCTCTCAGCGACCGCACTCAAAATTATATATCGCGCGCCATACACTCTCTACCGCGGACTCCCACACGTTCCTCCTCGCCTAAACTGCTAAAACTACGCTCTCGATCGTGACTCACGGAGCCATGGCTCTCGTTGACCGCACCGCAGACTCTCCGCTCTTGGAGCTGCTCCTCGGCTTGAAGAACGCAGCACCAGCCGCTACAGCCGCTACCACGGCCACGCCGAGTGTCGCGGTGATTCAGACAACGCCTCTTCGCCACCCGCTGCTTCTGCGCTTTCAAGATCGCGCCAGCTCCGCCGTGAAGTCTTCCTCCGCCACCGCCGCCGTCGCCGCCGCATCAGCGTCCTCAGGAGAGACCGAAACCGGGGCGGTATCCAACAGCGCCTTCGATGCTACCGCGCCTCGGCTTCCTGACGACCAATCGGGTGGGCTACCCCGCGCTGCGACGAGTGACGAGTCGCCACCGGAAATCGGTCCGCGAGTAGCGGGAGCTCCGCCTCGACAGTGGATGCCAATGGCGGCGCCGCTACAGCCGCCGGTCTCCGCGCGCGAAGCAAACCAGTCGTCCCAGGCGGAATCGCCGCTGAACCAACAGCAGCAGAGCGCCGCGGTAGCAGCTGCCGCGCTGATAGCGGGCGCCGTGCTTCACGCGGCGAATGCGGCAGCGGGGAGACGCGAGAGGACCCCGATTTCATCATCCAACGTCGCAGGTCGTGCGAACTGCGGGCAGAACGAGATCCCGAATCGCAGGTCGCCGGTTCCTGACCCGCCGGAGGCTGGAGCTAATGCGTCCCTTCGGAAACAGCTGCTCTTACACGCGCAGCGCGGGGATTCTTGGGAATCAATGCCTTCCGTGATTCCTGGCCCTGTCACCACTGGCAGACGACTTTCACCCCCTTCGTCCGGCGTCGCGCCTTTGGCGCGTCTCTCCTCGTCGGCTGACGTGGCAACCTCGTCGCTGTCCGCATTCCTGAACGAACCAAGGACTACGGCAGCAACAGAGAGGAGTTGCTATAGTGAATCGCTTGCCATGGCGCTTCGAGCAGCCAATGAGGTAGCTAGGATCAACATTGGTGGAGTGAGGGACATGATTAATGGTGGTGATCTTCTGGATAGTCTTGGCTTTGAGCAGCAGGAAAGATCATCCCGGAGCAAGAGATGTCCCCAGTGTGGAAGAATTTTCATGTCCGGGCAGGCACTCGGCGGTCACATGCGGAAGCACTGGAAGGGCCCAAAAAGGCCGGAGCATTCTTCTCGGCATGCGAAAGACTCGCTCGGTGTGAACAAGGGCGCCCAAGAGAGCAAACTCAGCCGTAAGTCGCCTTCGCGGTGTCAGGTGAAACTCATTAGGCGGTACTCGGAAGAATCGATGGAGTTGGAGAAGGAAGTGGGTGCCACGGAAATAGATTTGGACCTGAGGCTGTGATCATGTGATGCCAAAGATTGATAGCTACACCAGCCATCAGGCTTGTACCATTAGACAAGTTGGTTCAATGCAGCTGAGAACAGGGCTCTGTGCATGAGCCTGCAGTTGACCTGGTGGTACCCTGCAAGCAGTGGCATATGGCTTATACCCTGGCTGGAGGCATGTTGAGGACCTTGTTGGAGAAAGAGCAGTATGCCATTTGGGGAGTTGACAGACAGGCGACATTCAATGAGCAGCACTCAGTAGGATCAACTCAGATGGAAGGTGGATGCAGGGTTGGCTTTGAACTTGGAAGTGTGATGCCCATGGCCAGCTGGACCAGCACTTGTGCTGGTCTTACGGTATCACAGCTGATTCCTACCTTGCCAAATAAGGAAGCAATGTTGCTGCTAGATATGTGTCAGCTGGTTGGTTTGATGGAAAAGCCCTTTGATAAAACCCTGTTTACTAACATCTGCCCTGTACAATACCTGCAGTGAACTGATTGGGAATGACATTTATATTACGGCATCAACCGCCATCTGGGGGTGTTAATGTCCCAGAGAAATAGATTGACAGACCATTTATTTAACAATGATGCTAATTCACTTATGAACACCTACACTACTAAGGACTCCCAGTCCATAAAAGCTACCTTATAACCTCTTCAGTATTCATATTTTCAGGTTTAGATCAATATCAACGACAAGAGGCCTCGCAGTAGACTCCGCTTCGTTGGCCCGCCTCTGCTTGCCATCGTGCTCAGGCGAGGCGAGATCCGACTCGTGGCTATGGCTCCCGCTGTGCGCCGGACTACTGGTCCTCGAAGGCCCCACTTCCGCAAGCAGCTGCTTCGTCTGCACGCGGATGGATCCATTCCAGTGCTTCCGCATGTGTCCTCCCAGCGCCTGACCCGTCGCAAATTTCTTCCCGCATTTTAGACACGTCTTCATCTGCTGCTGCGCGGATCGCTTCCGCTTGTGACTCGTCTCCGCGGCGCCACTGCCTGGAAGGAACTGATCGGAATCCGTAGTGCGGTTCGTCAATCGAGGAAGTTGGTCTGAACCTTCCTCCGAAGATTGAGCGAGCGTGGCTGGCGGGCTGTCGGAAGGACTCGTCGGCTCCGCGTTCAGGTCGAGTTGCTTCTCGTCGATTCCGTGGACTTCCATTTCCGGCGGTGCACTCACCATGCGTAGCAGCAACAAGTCGGACGCGCCGCGACACAAAAGCTCTTCTTCCAAGCTAGCCAGCTCAGCTTCGTCAGAGTGAGTGACGGAGGTCGCGCCGTAGCCAGAGTCGCTGGGAAAGCTCTGCTGCGATGTGTGCGTGATGTTGGATTCTGACTGGAGATGTTCCTCTTCTTCGACCTGCCTTCTCCCGCATGCTGACGCAAATCGCTCATCTGAGTCGACAAGGCATCT